CACCCACCCTTGCACTCACTCACGCACCCACGCACTCACCCTCTCACTCACCTTTGCAGGCTGCCAATTTATCACCTTCACATTAAACCACACACTCACTCACGCACTCATCCTTGCACTCATCGTTGCACACACCCTCGCACTCACCCTTACCCTCACGCACACACTCGGCACTCACCCTCACTCACCTTTGCGGTCAGCCACGCACTCCCTCACTCACTCAGCCGTACACTCACTCTCGCACTCAGCGACACATTCGACCACACACTCAACCATGCATTATACCACGCACTCACCCACACACTCAATCACGCAGTCAGCCACGCAACCCATCACGCACTCTCTTGCAATCAGCAACGCACGCACTCTTGACTTAATCACTCACTCATCCTTGCAGTCGGCCATGCTCTCTCCTACGCACTCACGCACGCACTCACGCTCGCACTCACCCTCGCACTCACACACGCTCTCACCCTTACAATCAGCCACACACTCACTGAAGCGCTTACCCTCTCACTTACCCTCGCACTCACCGATCGACTCATGCACGCACTCACTCCCTAAGCCACGCACTCAACCACGCATTCACTCTCGCACTCAGCCACTCACTCAACCACGCACTCACCTACTCACTCACCCACTGACTCACTCTCTCACTCACTCAACCACGCACTCACCCACTCACTCACTCTCTCACTCACTCAACCACGCGCTCAACCACTCACTCACTCTCTCACTCACTCACTCACTCAGCCACGTGCTAGCCCACTCAGCCACTCTCGCGCACTCACCCTCATATTCAACCACGCACTCACTCGTGCACCCACGCACTCATGCACCCACGCACTCACTCACGCATCCACCCTCGCACTCAGTCACGCAGTCGGCCAAGCACTTAATTACACACTCACACGCTCAGCCACTCACTCATCGTCGCACTCAGACACACACTCACCCTCGCATTCGCCCTCACTCTCAGCCAATCCTCACCTTCACAATCAGTCAATCACTCACCTTCACAATCAGCTAACCACTCACATTCACAATCAGCCAATCACTCACCTCACGCACTCACCCTCGCACTCCCGCACGCACTCCCCTCTCACTCACATTTCCAGTCCGCCACGCACTCACTTACTCACTCAGCCCAGCACTCACTCTCACAGTCACTCTCGCCCTTGCACTCAATCATTCTTTCAAACTTGCGCTCCGTCACACACTCGTCCTCGCATTCACCCACACATTCAGCCACGCATTCGCACACCACACTCAGTCACGCACTCACTTCCACGATCGTGCAATCAATCCCGCACTCTCCCTCGCACCCACCCCTGCACTCGTTCACACACCCACGCACTCACCCTCTCACACACCTTTGCAGACTGCCACACACTTCTCTCGGCCAATCTCTCACCTTCACACTAAGCCATACACTCACTCACGCACTCACCCTTGCACTCACCGTTGCACTCACTCTTGCACTCTCTCTCGCCCTCGAGCACACACTCGGCACCCACCCTCACTCACCTTTGCAGTCCACCACACACTCGCTCACTCACTCAGCCTAGCAGTCACACTCGCACTCACCCACGCACTCAATCACGCAGTCAGCAACACAACCCATCACGCACTCACTCTCGCATTCAGCAACGCACCCACTCTTGCACTTAATCACTCACTCATCCTTGCGGTCGGCCATGCTCTCTCCTACGCACTCACGCGCGCACTCACGCTCACACTTACCCTACTCACACATGCACTCATCCTTACATTCAGCCGCACACCCACTGAAGCGCTTACCCTCGCACTTACCCTCGCACTCACCGATCGATTCATGCACGCACTCACTCCCTAAGCCACGCACTCAACCACGCATTCACTCTCGCACTCAGCTACTCACGCACACACCCACTCACTCACCCATTCACTCACTCACTCTCTCACTCATTCACTCTACCACTCTCGCACACAGCCATGCACTCACTTGTGCATCCACGGACTCACATATGCACTCGCTTTCGCACCCACCCTCGCACTCACCTCGCACTCACCTCGCACTCGCACTCGCACTCACTCGCACACTCACTCACGGTCAACCACGCACTTGCTCACACAGGCAATCAGCCACTTACCCATCGTTGCACTCAGTCACACACTCACCCTCGGCCAAGCACTGACCCTCGCACTCAGCCAATCACTCGCCTTCACACTAAGCCACACACTCGCTCACGCACTTACCCTTGCACTCAACCTCTCCCTCACGCACACAGTCGGCACTCACCATCTCACTCACCTTTGCAGTCACCCACGCACTCGCTCACTCACTCACTCAGCATAGCACTCACTCGCGCTTTGTCACGCCATCGCATTCACCGTCGCACTCACTCTCGGACTCACCTATGCACTTACCCACGCACTCACCAACACTCACCTTTGCGTTCAGCCACACCCACTCATACACTCACAATCGCACTCAGCAACTCACTCACCCACGCACTCGCTCTCGCGCTCACCATTGCAATCAGCCACACACTCATCCATACGCTCACACAAGCATTCACGCTTGAACTAAGCCACACATTCATCTTCGCACTCACTCAAACACTCATCTTCGCACTCCCCTATGCGCGCACTCACGCACGCAGCTACGTCTACTAGCTAACGCAAAAGTGGCCTAAAAAGTCGCATATGAAACTCACATGGGAATGAGTTGCCGGAGGGCGGACAGAGGCGGAAGGTGGCCCTGTTAGCCACTTGTTGAGGACAAAGCTGAGTGGGGAGAAGGAATGGCAGATCGGAGAGGGGAGGTTAGAGAGAATAAATGATGTGAAATTTTGATGAACTTAAAATTGACCTTGCAACGAAGCTTAAAATAGAAGCTTAGAGGAGGGGATGGACTCCATCAAAGAAAGAGGCATGAAATCAGCAATTGGTATGCAGCGATACAGAAAGGTGTACGTGAGGACTGGATGGGGCATGAGAAGGGAGGGAAACAACGAGAGTGACAAACGTGAGCAAAAACGAAGCAAGGACGATGCAGCCTTCGCGCTTTGGCGCCAGCGCCTACAGCAATCAAGGCGCCAGCGCGCAAGGCGCCAAGGCGCCAGCAAAAAATACGCCAAGGCGCCAGCGAGAAATGCGCCAAGGCGCCATCGAGATAGGCGCCAAGGCGCTGAGCGAAAAAGGCGCCAAGGCGCCAGCGAAAAAGGCGCCAAGGCGCTGAGCGAAAAAGACGGCAAGGCGCCAGCAAAAAAGGCGCCAAGGCGCCAGCGAAAAAGGCGCCAAGGCGCCAGCGAAAAAGGCGCCAAGGCGCCAGCGAAAAAGGCGCCAAGGCGCTGAGCGTAAAAAGGCGCCAAGGCGCCTGCCTCAGCGCCAAGGCGCCTGCCTCAAGGCGCTAGCCTTGATGGCGCTAAACGCCCCGCCAGCGCTAGTAGAAACCTACCAGAGCAATTGATGAGGCACGGGAGAGGAGACTATTGTTGACGGTCTTTACCAAAGAACGAAAACAGAACCTAGTACTGCTCTGCTAAAGTTTGAACAATCTTGGTAGAAACGAGAAGATAAGATTCAAGAATAGAGAAGCAAGAACGAGATGACTGAAACAAGAAACGGAATCTGTTGCTTGAACGAGATGCTTGAATGGTGTTCGACCTCCTCGCGATAGTGGGCATTGAGGGAGCAAGAAACGTTGAGCAAGAAACGACGAGCAAGAAACATGCGCTTCGGAGAAACAGGTGCAAGAAACATGCGCTTCGGAGAAACAGCTGCAAGAAAAATGTGCCTTGGAGCAACAATACCTAGAACCAACGCCAGCGCCAGCGCGTTACGTTCCAGCATGTACGTGCACGTGAAATTCAGCAGACTCAGCTGATACACTAACACTTCGTGTGCATTTTGCGTCAGCTCAACAAAACGCGGCGAAAGTGAAAAAACGAAACTAACATATTCCATATTAGTCCTAAATCATTTATCTACACCATAAGTAACCATGTAGTACATGCTTATATTATTCAGTCAAAATTCCTCATGATTGGGCATCAGGTGTGAGATAGAGACGAAAATGCAATACTTATATTACAAAAAGACTGTAGAGGGTGGGAGAAAGGTACATATAAACCTAAGTGGATTGAAAAAAAAAAATATACATCTCAGTTGCGTTTATCTTGAGTACGGTGTTCAATATTCTACGCAACCCTTACGACGTTCATCGTCGAGCCTTGTTTCTCAACGACTTAGTTTAGGGTTTGAGCCTGTTCATGGCATTTCACGCAGATCTGCGTACGTACGGACCCTCGATCGACAGGGAGGATCGTACAGCCGATTGCTGCGCTAACCACAGGAGGGGAAAGCGGCACCATAGTTTAGTAGAAGAGAGAGCGTAGCAATAGCTGACCAGCGCACAAAACGGGACGATGAATTACGGAAGGAAGAATACGGGAAGACGCGACCGGATGGGAAAGGACGCGAGGGGATTGGAAGGGACGGTATTGTTTACGACGGGACGGGACGGAACGTGGAAGGAGGGACGCGACGAGACGAGAGGGGACGGGACGGGATAAGGTGAGAGGGGAGAGAAGCGGGCAGGATATGACGGGACAGGGAAGGAGGGGAAGCGACGCCCCAGGAACGGGACTGGCGACAGGAAACGGGAGGACACGCGCCGACGGAAAGGGACGGGAAGGGACGCGACGATACCCCGCTTTCTCTTCGCCGCATCTCCCTTTCCCTTCCGCGGCGGAAGCGGAGAGGTAGAGGCATCAGCGGAAGCGGAGAGGGAGAGGCATCGGCGGAAGCGGAGAGGGAGAGGCATCGGCGGCAACGGATAGAGAGAGGCATCGGCGGAAGCGGTAGGCGGAGCGGTCGCCGCAATCGTCGCCGCGACGAGAGAGGAGGGGACGCGACGAGCGAGGAGGGGACGCGACGAGCGAGGAGGGGACACGACGAGAGAGGAGGGGACGCGACGAGCGAGGAGGGGACGCGACGAGAGAGGAGGGGACGCGATGAGAGAGGAGGGGGCGCGACGAGAGAGGAGGGGACGCGACGAGAGAGGAGGGGACGCGACGAGAGAGGAGGGGACCTGCCGAGCGAGGAGGGGACGCGACGAGAGAATTAGGGACGCGGCGAGAGAGTTAGGGACGCGACGAGAGAGGAGGGGGCGCGACGAGAGAGGAGGGGACGCGACGAGAGAGGAGGGGACGCGACGAGAGAGGAGGGGACGCGACGAGAGAGGAGGGGACGCGACGAGAGAGGAGGGGACGCGATGAGAGAGGAGGGGACGCGACGAGAGAGGAGGGGACGCGATGAGAGAGGGACGGGAGGAGAGCATCCTCGTCCCTTCCCAGCATCCCCCTTTCCCTTCCCAGCATCCCCCTTTCCCTTCCCAGCATCCCCCTTTCCCTTCCCAGCATCCCCCTTTCCCTTCCCAGCATCCCCCTTTCCCTTCCCAGCATCCCCCTTTCCCTTTCCCGCATCCCCCTTTCCATTTCCCTCATCCCCCTTTCCATTCCCAGCATCCCTTTCCCGCATCCCCCTTTCCCTTTCCCTCATCCCCCTTTCCCTTTCCCGCATCCCCCTTTCCCTTTCCCTCATCCCCCTTTCCCTTGCCCGCATCCCCCTTTCCCTTTCCCGCATCCCCCTTTCCCTTTCCCTCATCCCCCTTTCCCTTTCCCGCATCCCCCTTTCCCTTTCCCTCATCCCCCTTTCCCTTTCCCGCATCCCCCTTTCCCTTTCCCTCATCCCCCTTTCCCGTTCCCTCATCCCATTCTTCTCCTCGGTTTCCTTCCATGCCTCACCTCAGTTTCCTCTCATGCCTCACCTCAGTTTCCTCTCATGCCTCACCTCAGTTTCCTCTCATGCCTCACCTCAGTTTCCTCTCATGCCTCACCTCAGTTTCCTCTCATGCCTCACCTCAGTTTCCTCTCATGCCTCACCTCAGTTTCCTCTCATGCCTCACCTCAGTTTCCTCTCATGCCTCACCTCAGTTTCCTCTCATGCCTCACCTCAGTTTCCTCTCATGCCTCACCTCTGTTTCCTCCCATGCCTCCCCTCGGGTTCCTCCCATGCCTCCCCTCGCGTTCCTCCCATGCCTCCCCTCGGGTTCCTCCCATGCCTCCCCTCGCTTTCCTCCCATGCCTCACCTCTGTTTCCCCACTTGTCTCCCCTCTGCTTCCCCACTTCCCGCCCACCTGTTGATGTGCTTGTTTCAGCATGGCGCCACAAAGAACCAGTTCATCCTTAGTTTTGTAACTAATGCGTAGAATAAAAACTCAGTTGTTCGCAAAGTAGGCTTGCCAAACTCTCCTAGTCTCTTGACTCTCAATAGCATATTACAATTGATTCTCAGATTGCTTCAATGCATCCATCTTTGAAGGTGCAATTGAGCACAGCACTGAATGAACTTATTGAATGTATACAGTTGAGTAATATCTTGAAGATATGGGGTACAACTATCCTCTAGCGCCGGTCTCGCCTTCGTGCATCTGGTCGTGCATCTGCTGCTTGCCTGTCCCTTCCGTTCAGCCAGGCTCGCCTGGGACTAGCTTAGTCCTGCTTGTAGCTGGAACAAAGGGAGAGGTGGCGGGAGGAAGGAGGGATCTAGGGATGAGAAAAAGGGCAGTTGAGATGTGAAAGGTGGTAGGAAGGGGGGACGGGGAGAACAAAAGAGGGTAGGGGTGATGGAAGGAAGGGAGGTTGGCACGCAAGATGGGAAGGAAGGGACGGCAGATGAGAAGAACGGGAGAGGAGATGAGAAGGGACGGGACAGGAGATGGGATAGCATAGTAGGGGAAATGAAAAAAAGGAGGGCAGATGGAGAAGGAAAGGGCTTTCCACACTCATGGCCGCCACCACAGCACTCACCTTCCCCACCTCCCCCTCCCTCTCCCCCTCCCCCTTCTCTTCCACCCCCCTCTCCCCTCTCTCTAACATCAAATGTTGCCGCAGCCCTGTCCCAACCCTCACCTTCCCCCGCTACCCTATTCCTCCTCTTCGAGCCCGATGGCGAGCAGGAGATGAGGGATGTTGGTGGAGGAGGGGGGTGAGGTTGGGTTAACAGGGAGAGGAGGGGAGGAGGAGGGGGCAGCAATCATAGCGAAAGGAACGTGGAGAAGGTTCTTGAAAGGCAGCAAAATGTTTCCACTCGGAATAAGAAGGGGGCGAAATAGGGGAGGCGAGTGCGGGATGGTGGGAGAGCTGGTGGGTTGGAGTCCGAGGAGAGGAGGTGTGGGAGAAGTGGGAGGACTACATTTAATCACACAGCGAGTGTGGCAGCTGAGGAAGGGAATGGGTGGGTGGAGGGGTGGTAATGGAGCGAGCTGCTGATTGAGTGGATGGGCTGACCTGAGAGCAGATGCGGGCAGAAGGAGGAGAGAGGGAAGGGGAGAGAGGGAAGGGGAGGAGAGGGGAGAGAGGGAAGGGGGGTGGGAGTAAAAGTGGACATGCTGAGGAAGCAGCGCGGAGATAAGTTGACGGCACTCAGGAGGGCACACAGTAGGGCAAACAGGTGAGGAGACAGTCGGGGAAGGGTAGAGTGGGAGGAAGGGGCACTGCAGGCTGCTGGTGCGCGTGGGCACGTGATGCCCTCCCCCACACACCCACCCTTACCCTCACCCTTGCCCATCTCTAGGCTACACACCCACGTGGCCTCTTCGTACCCCACTCTCCCCTGAATCTCCCCCCAACCCCACCACCCCCGCACTGTTCTCCCAGCATACCTGCAGCATGGAGACAGAGTCAGTGGCAGAGACAACAAGCTGAGAGTTCCAATGTGATCCAGTGACGGTTGAACGCCGATTGTATGCTGCAGATTTTCGTGCTTCAAAATTCCCCACACCATATTACTAACGTCAATCTCAGGTCACTCTCAGCTTAGGTCACTCTCAGTTTGGTTTATTCGTGATTTTCAAGTGGTTGACTTCCCTGCTGCTGACAACCCTGCTGCTGACAGCCCTGTGGCACTGCGGGTTATCCAGGTGGCAATACGGGACTAGCAGGGACCGTCATCCCAGGACCATCACTCCATTGCACCACACGCGCCACGGTCCGCATGACCCGCGCCAGCAACGACCGGTGACGCGGCAGCACGCCCAGGATTTGGCGTGGGCCGAGGCCTTCTCAAAAGATGAATGCCGACTACCCACGACTACCCACGCAACTGAGCGGCAGAAGTCCACGCCAGCATGGCTCCCACAGCATTGCCGCCTGAGGTCGCAAGGGAGGAGCGCTAACCAGGGGACCTTCTCTGGCGACCCTTCCCCCGATCACCCACTAGGTGTCATGCATATTCTAGCCAGCAGCATCCATCTGCTGCAGTCACTACACTAAAACACCAATCAATAGTTGCTTATCTCTACACTGTAGTCAGTAGTGCCTTGTATCGAACCTGCCTCTAACGAATCGGGTCTGTGCTCTCATTTTCCGCCCGGCTCGCTACCACCACCCTATCACCATCATTGTCAATCTCATCCCATCACCCCATTACTTCATCATGCAGGAACCCCATTATCCATCCTCCCATTACCCTGTCATCCCATTGCCCCATCACCCCACCCACCCTACTACCCCATCTTCCCATTACCCCGTCTTCCCATTACCCCATCTTCCCATTACCCCATCTTCCCATTACCCCACCTTCCCATTACCCCATCATCCCATTACCCCATCTTGCCATTACCCCATCATCCCATTACCCCATCTTCCCATTAACCCATCATCCCATTACCCCATCATCCCATTACCCCACCATCCCGTTCCCTTACTTGCACAGGCACAACCTGCAAACCAGAAGCCAGGAGATTCATATTCTTGCGCTTTCATGTGCAGGGGGTTGGGGGCATATGGTGCAGGTGGGTGGAGGCAGAGGTTGGATATCTACCTCCCACGCTTCCCTCTGTCTTGCCCCACCTTCACTATCACCCCCCGGTACCCTTCTCGTTAACTCCAGAATGCCTTATTCAGCAGCCGCATGGCTTTCTTCACCACCCTTGGAACAGAGGCTCTTTTGAATTGGGCACTGTCGCAGGGAGTGTGTTGCGGAGATAACTACTACAACGGGAGCTAGACTACGGACTAGGCACGGGTGCTCATGTGATCTCTGCGTTCGTTGGTCCTTAGTCGTTTTCCTAGTGCACACACTGCTTGCTAGGTCACGGGGCAAATTGGCAAGAGTTTCACTAGAGAAAGTTGACAACAAAAAGGTACAATGAAGTTGGCATAGCAAGACTACATCAGAGCTAGCATTCAGGTCTGTCGACTGCCAGCGCAGCACGGTCGACCGCGTTCCAGCAGTGCAAAGTCGACATGCCAACGTCGCAGGTTGACGGCGTGCCAGCATTGCTCCCGCAGAACAGCAGCGCACCCGCTTCGCAGGTGCTCGCAGATGATTGGCGGGCTGAGCCTCGTCACCTGCACAACGCACACACCAAGTCATCCTCGTGCTGACGACTCCACCTGATCCGCCATGTCGACCTCGGGATACCATCACCGAGATCGGACTCGCCAACTTCGCCTGGGCGACCGTCGCACTCCTCCGCAGAACCTCGTCACCCAGGTAACCTGGTCGACCGGGCAACCACGTCGACCAGCTGCTCCCGTACGTGCCCGTCGACCTCCCAAGTCGACGACCACCTCCAGTCGACCTCACCAGGTCGACCACACCCTTGGTCGACCAGCTCCAGGTCGACGTCACTCCTGGTCGATCAGCTCCACGTCGACCAGCACTCCTGGTCGACCAGCTCCACGTCGACCAGAGCAGTTGTCAGCCGACCACCCAAGTCGGCTACCCGAAGTCGGCGTCACCAAGTCGACGCCCGTGCAGTGGCCCCCGTGCAGGTCGACCTCCTCGTCAACCAGCTCGCCCACTGCTGCAGGTCGGCTGCTCCCCTCACACCCGACCACGAAGTCGGCTCCGCCCAAGCGAGGACGGGGCCAACACACAACTCCCGTTGACATGTGTTCTACCTGTTCTCTGCCTTCGTCATGCCCTTCCATGCACTGTCTGCCTACCTTGCCTTCCCTGTCTTCCCACCCTTGCCTTCCACCGCCTCTCCCTCTCTGCAGGCACTATCCGGCAGGTGCAAGGCCAATATAAGCACATCACCGTCGCACTTTCTAACCCGTGGCGGGTTCTTCGGCAATGTGCTTTGCCTCTTTCAGCCTTCACCATCCTCGCCCTCCGCAGCAGTGAAGTTGTCGTTGCTGAATGGCAATTTGTGCAACTTGTGATCTTGTGGATGCTGCTGAATGAAAGCTTGCTGCTGCTTCTTTTCTAGAGTGGCGGCTTCTTGCCCACTGATTCCCAAGTAGTGTCACAACGATTTGCTCTACCAGCTGGTTCTGTTGCCCAGAATTGACGACGTGTTCCCATTACGGTATTACTACCCACGGACGGATACCCAGAGCGTTTGACCATCTTTCAGTAGGCCAAGGAACTCTCTCTCTTTTCAAAATCCAGCTCTTGAATCTGGTAGTTTCAGTTCAGAGTGGTCACTCATTCAACTTCATTGAGTACGGGTATGTAACCTCTTGCAACAGAAGTTTCGTTGCGGAGCACAAAGTGCGTCTTGCAACCACAATCTTGACAACATTTACATCAAGTTACACAAGCATTGTGATTGCACAAGCCCAAGGGGAGCAGATCACAAGCTGGTCTGTGAACGTACCGCATGACCAGGGCCTGCGTGGGAGTAACGGCAGGTTAAGGCAAGCCCCAAGAGCAAAAAGCAGGAAGGAGGCAGAATGAAGGGAAAAAAATAAAGGATTGCCATAGGCAATCTGACAAGAGAGGAGTTGGTGGTATGACATGACAGGCATACAGCGTATGAGAGGAGTGGAGGCTAGGAGGGAATTGAGAGGAGTGGGTGGGGAGTATAAAGAGGAGTGGAGGTTGTGAGAGGAGTGGGGTTTATGACCGGAGCAGGGGGTATGAGAGGAGTAAAACTTGAGTCGTGATTTCCTTGTGTCTAGCAATTAATCAAAGGCACCCTTCAAGAAAGTTGCCACGAACAACTGAAGGCCCACCATGAGTACCTGATTGCATGCACTCAGTGCTTCAGGCCTGCCCAGAGCAACAGTGGGTGAGGGAGAAAGGGGTAAGCACACGCAGAAAAGGGTGAAAGTGGTTAAAACAACAGGGCAGGAGAAGAAGACAGGAGTGGCAGTGCATGGACGGAGAGAAGGGCAGGTGCGAGGACAGGGAGAGAGACGGACAAGTGTTAGGGCGCGTGTCTTTTGGTGTAGATTGTGAAAGTTCGAGCCTAATACCGCTTTGTACCGTGGCGACACGTCTCTCAAACGTATCCTACCGTGTACAACCTTTCTAGAAGTTCGAACTTTGGCAAAAGTTCGACCTCAAGGACACGCGCCCTTGTATGATCCATACAATCGAAACGGACTAATCCTTAAATAGAGGGGTCGATTCCAACAGCTGCCATGCAAGTGATTGCCAAGACACAGACATAGCAGCCAACTCCCTTGCAGGAAAGACTAGACAGGAGCCAGTAGTTCAGTAACAGAGCGTGTACCACAGCAGGTGCATTGAACAACAACTCTAGCAGCAGGAGCCCCCACATCCTCCCCACTTGCAAACAGGCAAGGGCCATCACAAGAACGTGGGACACAGTGTTAGTTTGGTCTGGTCACACCTGCCAGCGCACCTCTGTGCAAGACATTGGAATTCGTGGTCGAAATGGACATCGCATTGAGGCAGACCTCTCTTTTGCATCCATTTCACCCCTCACCTTCACCTCCCTCCAGCCACTCCCTCTCTCTCGCCTTCACCTCCCTCATACCCACTCACATTGCCACACATACTACAGCTCACCTTGCCACGGTTCGTCCCACTCTTTTTGCCGCTGGTCCTGCCGGGGCATGTGAGCTTGTAGGAGGGCCAGTGCGCCTTTTGGCACTCTCTGCTGCAATACGCCACCTTGCCACACCCACTGCAGCTCCTCAGCTTCACACCACCACCCTCCACCTTCCCACACCCTCCAGCACCGCATACACGCCCCCTACTAGCAACAAGACCAGGGCCTCCTGTTACTGATACGGACGGGGCTGCATTGTTCGGTGCAGCAGCAGTAATTGGAGCAGCAGGGGTGGTAGGGGCAGCAGCGGAGGCAGGGCGGTAGCACACTTCCCCCAGCAGCATCTCTCGCAGACATGCCACCAGATTGACTCCCCCCGGCCATGCCTTCAGATGAGCCGCCTCCTCCTCCTCCTTGGCCTTCCGCTTGCTATGGCTGCTGCTGCTGCTGCTGCCGCCACATGAACTGAAAGTTCCACCCCCATGCTGCATGTCTTCACGGAACCTGGGCAGCAGAGAGCGCTTATACATCTTTCCCACTGCTTCCAAGCTCGCACTCACATCCTCCTCCCTTCCCTGGGTTCCGCTGCAGGCGGCCCCGGCCCCCTTCATATCAGCAGACGGCAGCATTGCCACCATTAACCAGGAATGTACCTCCTCCCACACAAACCCACTATCAACTTTACCATCCCCACCCTCCCCAATCCCGCTGCCCTCCCTGCCCACCGCACAGTCCCTACTCCCTGCACTCCTCCCGCCAGCCTTTTCTTTCGCACCAGAGATTCCCAGGCCGGGCTTTGTATCGTGCCCCCCTTCACTCGGCTGCAGGAGAGGTGTGGGGCAGAGAAGCGCCAGGTTGAGCAAGAAGGCGATTGGCACCTGCTCCACCCGCTCCCGTAGCGCATGCATGCTGCTCCGCATGCCAAGGGGAGCATTCAGCCCCAGGCGGGTGAGAAGGTCACGGAACAGCTCAGTGTGCGGCGGGAAGACGGAGACGAAGTGGTCGAGAAGGACTGTGGCGGGGCAATAGGCGAAGTTGGCGATGAGAGCGACGATGGGAACTCGAGATATGTACCTGGTGATGCACCTTTTGCACTGGGTGCACAATGGTGGCCCCACGAACAAACTGACGAAGTCCACTATAAACTCCGCATCTGCCTTACAGCGGACAATGGGACGGGTCTTGTTTTGAAGCGACGGCACTTCTTCAGTGGGAGATTTCGAGAACTTCCCCTGCTGCTGCGTTGCCACATGGCCTCTGTTCTTGTGATCCAGACTGCCATTCATCCGGCCCAGCCCGAAACATCTGGCACCGGAGTCGTCAGGAAACTTCATAGCTGTTTCGTTCCCCTCAGACCAGTCTACCCACTCAGCAAGTCGGCTGCGTCCGTCCAGCAGCGGGGGAACAGCGCCGAACCTAACCAGCAGGTCCGGAAGATCCCGAAGCGGGTGGCGCATGGGCAGGACCTTGCCTTGTGGGCTGTCCTTGAAGCAGCTATTGGCGGAGATGAAATCTGAGCCGTAGATCCGAAGCCACTGCAAGATGCGAGCAACCCGATATGTGAGCAGCCCAAGATCAGGGTCTGTGTTGACAGGCACGAGGCAATGACTGAGCATCCCACTGCTGCTGATGCTTCTGCTTGTACTGATACCAGCAGAATCGCTGCTGTCAACAGCAGATCCAGCTCTGGATGAGAGCGCAGCAGCACTGGGAGCTGGTCTTCCATTTGCCGGTGCAGCTGCTGATGCTTCCACTCCGCTGCCTGATTTCCCTCCCTCGTTCATCCCTTGCTTCCCACTTGTCAGTTTCTGCTTTCTCAGCCTCCCCCTGGCCTCCTCAATGGCTGCATCATGCACATTGCTGCTGGATGCGCTCTGAGACGCGGTGAAGAACGTCGCTCCCAGCTTGCGGTGCTCTGGCCTGGAGAACACAGAGGCGACTGCAATAGCGAAATCAGTCGCACCCACGCCACTCACATACATGCCCTTGGGAATATCCCTGCCTGCTAGATTGATGCTGCTGCTGCTGCTGCTGCTGCTGCTGCTGCTGCTGCTACCCCCCTCACTGCAGTGGCTGCACCTGAACTCCCTCCCTTCCCCACCTCCATGCTCCAGAATCCAAGCCATGCCATCCACATACCTCTCCCACACACGCCCCTTCAGATGCTCCCTCCACTGCCCACCCTTCCCAATCCTCCCGCACCTGCTAGCGACCCCTTTGACCTTTTCCATGTTCGCTGCCTTCCATCCTCATCCCCAAATGGTGCATCTACCAACCCCTCTACGAGACTTCTCTCTCCCTGTTCAACCCCACCAGCCATCAGGTCCAGCCCCCCTCCAGGAATCCCCTTCTGCTCTGCACTGCCTTCTGCCGCATGCGCCTTCTCCAGCCCGCCTGACAGCACATGCTGCACAAAGAACCCAAACCCTTCCTGCAGATCAGCGCTCTCCTTCACCCCCAGCACCTGCACCAGCACGGACGCAAAGTCATCATTTGCCCTCTGCCGGCCTGCCCCCAGCTGGCCTGCTAAAGCTGGGAAGACGGCATCATACATACTATCCATATGAGCTTTCCACAAGGTGTAGATTCGGGGCCATCTCGCTACATGCACAAGGAAGGCAGCGAAGCTGACAGCACGGCGGTAGGCAGCCCAGCAGCTGCTGCAGCGCCAGCAGCAGGACCACGCTGCAGCGGCAGCAGGAAGGGCAACAGGAGCAGCAGGGTAGCCTACATTTGCCAGAACAGCTGGCAGGCGGGATCTGATCCTCCCCAGGTCCATGAGCACGCCCACACGAGGCTCAGCCATCCACTCGAGAATCATTGCCTCCACACAGACGAACGGCGCAAGAATAGACTTGCAGGATTACAGCTCAAGAGGCGATGCCAACTCCCCTTGCTCTCCAAACGCCTGCACCCTGGCGGAATACTCCAGCACACCCTTGTCCACTACATCGAAACGTGGCACAAATGGGGTGGCGTCCGGCAGCTGCTTGTGCAGCACGGATCGGGCGTATGAGAGGCTGTACATGGTGACAGCAAGCTCTGTTCCCAGGCTCAGAGCGCGGTCGAAGCAGCACTCGCACTCCTCCAGATGCCTTGCGGGTTCCAACCACCAGCTCTGGGAAGCCATACCGCCGCACCACCTCCTGATGAGAACGCCAAATCACCTCCTTGAGCTCTGACAGGCCGGCCCCACAAGTCCCCACAGACCTCAGGGGCTTTGCCTTTGTTCCTGCGCCACTCCCGGACGTGTCTCTGTTCGGCGGCCCCATATGCTCGACCTCCTTCTCCTCCTCCTCCTCCTCCTCGTCGCTGCTGGAGCCGATGTGGTCCCACTTGCTGTAGTCGATCCCACGTGGTCTGGCCACTGCAGCAGCAGCAGGTGTGGCAGCGGGAGCAGCAGCAGCAGGAGGCACAGCAGCAGCAGGTGAAGCAGGAGCAGCAGCGGCGGCGGGAGGCACCTCAGCAGCAACCGGAGCGCCGGCAGTGGGAGCCGCAGCGAAAACAGCAGGTGAAGGAGCGGAAGCAATGACAGTAGGCACGTTCGCAGCAGGTGCAATGGCCCCAAGGCCCCTGGCGCGCTCTTCAGTTACGTCCGTGCTCTTCTCCTCTGCAACCTCATGCACGGCAGGAATCTTAACAGGAAGCACCTTAATGGTGGAACTCGGTTTCAGCTTGGCTTGCTCGACGGTGCAGTCAGGGTTGAGGTACACCACCTGGCCGAGCACCATGAACCGCACCGGCGTCGCACGCACCGAAGTTTCCTCTGCAGATTCCCCGCCATCATTTTCTCCTTGACGCTGCACGTGATGTGCGTCGCGTGAACACTCCCCGGTTCTTCGCGGTGTCAGCCGTGCATCGCATGGCAGACAGCAGTCGGGCAGATGCGAGTGGAACAGTCGGTTGAAGACCGCTCGGAGAGGCTCCTCGGGAGAGGCAGCGACGTGCACGTCCACGTGGGACGATGCTGACGGCTTACTATCGCCAGAAAGGTTGTCGCCGATTTGCGAATCTCTACTATCAAGGTTGTCGGATTTGCGTTGGATCAAGAATCCGGCGGGAATGCGGAATCGAACCTCAAAAGCCATGGCTACTATGCGTGACAGGTAACTCAAACGGTGGTCACAACCCTAATAACTTTGTCCGCCATTCGTGCTTTTGCTGCTAAGGAATGTCGATAACCTGATTGGACTATCTCAGATCTCGTCTTCCACAGAAAAGGTCTCTGAACATACGAGCTCTGTTGAACACGCCACACGTCCTAATCGATGACGAGGTAGCTGTTGCCGTGAAATGAGGTGGATGGTGAGTCGGCTTCGAATTTCCTGTAGGGGTCGAACTCATTCGTTCTGGCTCGGAAAAATTGGTTCATCCGATCTCAATGATGATGTAACCAGGTTCGGGTTTCGCACCCTCCATCTCGTTCGACTTCTCGTTTTCTGCGAAGAGGAAGCAAACGCCGTTGCCTGCTGTTGTGTTTCAGCCCCAATTGCCAAGGTCCCCTGCAGCACCGAAGGCGCAAATTCCCTGTCAATACGGTTTTCGTTAGTTAGAACATCCCGCGTCGCGCATACATCAGCGATCTATCCGACGACTTCCTCATGAAGATCTTCTGGCGGTCCAAAGAACCATGCGTTTCCCGCCAATTCAGCAAACCCTTTTGATTCGTCGCGTTTCGTCTTTGCTGGCCGAAGTACCCCTTCGAGTATCCGTATGGCGAAGAGCTCAGTTCCTCCGAGGGCTACCACTTGCTACGATTGTCGCGGCAGCGGAACGACAATCATAGCACCGCCCATCGCGAGTAATTCGTCGCCAACTCTTACCGACCTAAAATCTCCCCATCGCCTCCATCTCTTCGCGCTGACATCGCCTGGCTCGCCAGCAGGTACTATCTTTGCCATGGAACCTCGTCGTTTCGCTCGCAGATCTCACAGCTGCCGTCGCGTGCTTCCCGAAACCCCGCCAAGTGCATGTGAGCATGGAGACTATCTGAGCATCTGAGCCCTTCAACAAGGTTGTTACTGAGGTGTTGGATGCCCGCAGGCGTTACACGCATGGCTGGCCGTCACTTCCCGCGAACCGCACGCGCATGCCGGTCCCAAGCTGGACCAGTTTCCTTTCCCTGCCTTCCGTCACAGTACTACCCGCAGCAGCACGCTAGACAGCAACAGTGCTGTGCGTCTATGCAGCATAGGTGCCTTTCCTCCCCCAGCCTATCCCTGCCAGGGGTGAAGCGCATCGTGGCTGTGGCCTCCACTAAAGGCGGCATCGGCAAGTCCACCACTGCCGGTGCGCCTCACTGCCCCACCGCCGCCTCACTGCCTCACCTCCGCCTCACTGCCATGCCCCTCGTTGCTTCCTGTCCTCGTCATATCCCACCCCCTCCTCCCTCTCCTCTCCTCCCTTCCCATCCGCCTTCATTACCTGCTTATCCCATTTCTCACCCCCCTTCCGTTTCCCCTCCCCACCAACCTTCCCTTTCTCTAACCCTCCCCCCTCCCCAACCCCGTTCCCTTCCACCTCCCCATCCCCCTCCCCTTCTCTGCAAGTCCACGGGTTCTCATACGCGCTCTACTCACCCCTGCCTCCTTCCAATCACATGCCACTCACCCCATCCCTATCACTCCGTTCTTTCCAACAGTCCCTCTCACCCCATGCACTACACCTGGTTCCTCCTCCTGGATGCCTCTCACCCCGTGCCTCTCACCCCGTGCCTCTCACCCCGGGCCTCTCACCCCGGGCCTCTCACCCCGGGCCTCTCACCCCGGGCCTCTCACCCCGGGCCTCTCTTATCCCATGCCCATTTCCCCTTATCCAACCATCCCCGCATCATCCCCTCCCCCTTTCCCCATATCCCCCATCTCTCATCCCCCCTATCCCCCCTCCCCCACGCCCATCCTCATCCCTCCTCCCCGCGTTCCACCATCTCCCTGGCCCCCACCCTTTTCCCTTGCAGTGAATCTGGCAGAGGCGCGCACGCACTACACGCCGGCGTCTAGTGCCCCTCACTGCCCAGCCTGCCCGGCCTGGCCACCGCCGGCCGGCCCCTGCTGGCCTCGCCCCTCCCCCTCCCCGCGCGCCCATGCTGCCGCTGCAGGCGCACGGCGTGCTCTGCATGTCCATGGGCTTCCTCGTGGGCTTCCTCGTGCCTGCTGACGTGGCGGCCGTGTGGCGTGGGCCGTGTGGAGAAGCTTGTAAGGGGGACGGAGTGGGGGCGGCTGGACGTGCTCGTGGTGGACATGCCGCCTGGCACGGGTGATGTGCAGCTCAGCATGAGCCAACGCGTGCGCCTGTCAGGTGCGTGTGTGGCAGACAGGAAGGTATGAGGCCAGCAGCACTATCGGAGGAAGCAGGGAGTGGGGGCGGCTGGACGTGCTCGTGGTGGACATGCCGCCTGGCACGGGTGATGTGTCCCCTCTCAGCTTAGCTTGAGCCAGCAGGTCCGTCTGTTAGGTGCGTGGACGAAATGGAATGGAATGGGATGGGTGGGGTGGGGAGGGGAGGGAGGGGAGGGGAGGGGAGGGGAGGGGAGGGGAGGGGAGGGGATGGGAGGGAATGGGATAGGATGGGATGGGATGGGATGATATGGGATGAGATGGGATGGGATGGGATGGGATGGGATGGGAGGAAGGTGCAGCTTCTAGATGCTACACTGCCTGCTCATGCTCCCCCGGTGCTGCTGGTGATGTCCACACACCTCCTTCCCTCTCCCGCCTGCACCCTCTTTTCCCCTTCCCTTGTCCGCTCTCCCCTCTCATCTCTCCGCTCTCCCCTGCCCCCTGTCCCCTCTTCCCTCTCTCCTCTCCCATTACACCGTGCCACTGTGCCCCAGATCACCCCAGGGGGCGTGGTGTCCTGCCCTGCGTGTGCCACGGATGCCAGCAGTGAAGGACTTCACACAGCTGCTGCCAGGCTGAGCTGCCCTGCATGATTCAAGGCAGCAGCATGGGGGGTGCGCAGTGGGTGTGATGTGATGCCAGCAGAGCGAGCAAATGAGGCAGTGGGAGTGGGAGGGCAGTGCAGGCCGCCCTGCATGACAGCTGGGGTTCACGCAGGAGATGCCAGGCTGAGCAGGCCTGCGTGAGTCAAAGCACCAGCGTGGGGGTTCACGCAGGAGATGCTGCTCGCCCTCGCTGCTTACCTATGGTCCGTCACACGTGCCAATCCATCCCATCTCAGCCCGCTTTCCTCCCTTCTATTTTTTCAAGTGTATGCGTCTTTTTGCCTTGCATAAGAGCAACAAAATGTCTTTCTTTTATGCCATAAGCTGCAGAAGATATGCTCACACCTTCCTCCCTCCATCTCCCCCGTTCCACCCATTCCATTTCTCCCGGCTGCCAATTCTATCCTCCTTTGCATTTCCCCTCCCTTGCCTTGCCGCTCCCCGTCCACCCCAAGGACCCCGCATGGCAGCAAGGGTGCACTACGAGGAGGTCACAGACGAGATGCTGCTCGCCCTTGCTGCCTACATCCGGTCAGACACTCACTCCCACCCTGCAATCCATTCCAACCAGCCTTCTTCTTATTCGCCATCTGTATGCATTTTTCTTGCTGTCTCCTCAACACTCTTCCTTCGTTACATGAGAAACCACTCTTCCTTGCTTTTTTTCCTCCATAAGCTTAGGGCTTGTTTCTCTCCCCTCCCTCCCTCTCCCCTTCCCTCCATTTCTCCGTACCTCCCTCCTTCCTCCCTCCCGCCTTCCTCCTTCCCTCCCTCTCCTCTAGTTTGTCTTTTGAGCAGTTCGAATTACAATAAGCGCAAGCTTTTGCCTTTCGCGCATGGCCAAATTGCATATCCCATGCTCCTCTCTCCCTCCCTCCCATCCCTCCCTCCCTTCCTCCCTCCCTCTCTCCTTCATCCCTCCCTCCCTCCCTCCCTCCCTCCCTCCCTCCCTCCCTCCCTCCCTCCCTCCCTCCCTCCCTCCCTCCCTCCCTCCCTCCCTCCCTCCCTCCCTCCCTCCATCCGTCCCTCCCTCCCACCCTCCTTCCTTCCCTCCCTCCCACCCTCCTTCCCTCCCTCCCTCCCACCCTCCTTCCCTCCCTCCCTCCCACCCTCCTTCCCTCCCTCCCTCCCTCTCTCTCCCCCGTGCCACCCGTGCCTTCTCTCTCCCGCCTCCCAATTTCATCCTCCCGTGCTCCCCAGGGAGCGTGCAAGGCACTACAGGCGCACGACTGGACTTGCCTCCCCCACCGTGCTGGAGGTGATGCGTTGAGGTGGGGGTGAGGCGTTGAGGTGGGGGTGAGGCGTTGAGGTGGGGGTGAGGCGTTGAGGTGGGGGTGAGGCGTTGAGGTGGGAGTGAGGCGTTGAGGTGGGGGTGAGGCGTTGAGGTGGGGGTGAGGCGTTGAGGTGGGGGTGAGGCGTTGAGGCGGGGGTGAGGCGTTGAGGTGGGGGTGAGGCGTTGAGGTGGGGGTGAGGCGTTGAGGCGGGGGTGAGGCGTTGAGGTGGGGGTGAGGCGTTGAGGTGGGGGTGAGGCGTTGAGGCGGGGGTGAGGCGTTGAGGCGGGGGTGAGGCGTTGAGGTGGGGGTGAGGCGTTGAGGCGGGGGTGAGGCGTTGAGGCGGGGTGAGGCGTTGAGGCGGGGGTGAGGCGTTGAGGCGGGGGGTGAGGCGTTGAGGCGGGGGTGAGGCGTTGAGGCGGGGTGAGGGGGTGAGGCGTTGAGGCGGGGGTGAGGCGTTGAGGCGGGGGTGAGGCGTTGAGGCGGGGGTGAGGCGTTGAGGCGGGGGTGAGGCGTTGAGGCGGGGGTGAGGCGTTGAGGCGGGGGTGAGGCGTTGAGGCGGGGGTGAGGCGTTGAGGCGGGGGTGAGGCGTTGAGGCGGGGGTGAGGCGTTGAGGCGGGGGTGAGGCGTTGAGGCGGGGGGTGAGGCGTTTGAGGCGGGGGGTGAGGCGTTGAGGCGGGGGTGAGGCGTTGAGGCGGGGGTGAGGCGGGGGTGAGGCGTTGAGGCGGGGGTGAGGCGTTGAGGCGGGGGTGAGGCGTTGAGGCGGGGGTGAAGGCGTTGAGGCGGGGGTGAGGCGTTGAGGCGGGGGTGAGGCGTGAGGCGGGGGTGAGGCGTTGAGCGGGGGTGAGGCGTTGAGGCGGGGGTGAGGCGTTGAGGCGGGGTGAGGCGTTGAGGCGGGGGTAGGCGTTGAGGCGGGGGTGAGTGCGTTGAGGCGGGGGTGAGGCGTTGAGGCGGGGGTGAGGCGTTGAGGCGGGGGTGAGGCGTTGAGGCGGGGGTGAGGCGTTGAGGCGGGGTGAGGCGTTGAGGCGGGGGTGAGGCGTTGAGGCGGGGTGAGGCAGTTGAGGCGGGGGTGAGGCGTTGAGGGCGGGGGTGAGGCGTTGAGGCGGGGGTGAGGCGTTGAGGCGGGGTGAGGCGTTGAGGCGGGGGTGAGGGCGTTGAGCGGGGGTGAGGCGTTGAGGGCGGGGGTGAGGCGTTGAGGCGGGGGTGAGGCGTTGAGGTGCGGGGGTGAGGCGTTGAGGCGGGGGTGAGGCGTTGAGGCGGGGGTGAGGCGTTGAGGGCGGGGGTGAGGCGTTGAGGCGGGGGTGAGGCGTTGAGGCGGGGGTGAGGCGTTGAGGCGGGGGTGGAGGCGTTGAGGCGGGGGTGAGGCGTTGAGGCGGGGGTGAGGCGTTGAGGCGGGGGTGAGGCGTTTGAGGCGGGGGTGAGGCGTTGAGGCGGGGGTGAGGCGTTGAGGCGGGGGTGAGGCGTTGAGGCGGGGGTGAGGCGTTGAGGCGGGGGTGAGGCGTTGAGGCGGGGGTGAGGCGTTGAGGCGGGGGTGAGGCGTTGAGGCGGGGGTGAGGCGTTGAGGCGGGGGTGAGGCGTTGGGGCGGGGGTGAGGCGTTGAGGCGGGGGTGAGGCGTTGAGGCGGGGGTGAGGCGTTGAGGCGGGGGTGAGGCGTTGAGGCGGGGTTGAGGCGTTGAGGCGGGGGTGAGGCGTTGAGGCGGGGGTGAGGCGTTGAGGCGGGGGTGAGGCGTTGAGGCGGGGGTGAGGCGTTGAGGCGGGGTGAGGCGTTGAGGCGGGGGTGAGGCGTTGAGGCGGGGGTGAGGCGTTGAGGCGGGGGTGAGGCGTTGAGGCGGGGGTGAGGCGTTGAGGCGGGGTGAGGCGTTGCGGTGAGGCGTTGAGGCGGGGGTGAGGCGTTGAGGCGGGGGTGAGGCGTTGAGGCGGGGGTGAGGCGTTGAGGCGGGGGTGAGGCGTTGAGGCGGGGGTGAGGCGTTGAGGCGGGGGTGAGGCGTTGAGGCGGGGGTGAGGCGTTGAGGCGGGGGTGAGGCGTTGAGGCGGGGGTGAGGCGTTGAGGCGGGGGTGAGGCGTTGAGGCGGGGGTGAGGCGTTGAGGCGGGGGTGAGGCGTTGAGGCGGGGGTGAGGCGTTGAGGCGGGGGTGAGGCGTTGAGGCGGGGGTGAGGCGTTGAGGCGGGGGTGAGGCGTTGAGGCGGGGGTGAGGCGTTGAGGCGGGGGTGAGGCGTTGAGGCGGGGGTGAGGCGTTGAGGCGGGGGTGAGGCGTTGAGGCGGGGGTGAGGCGTTGAGGCGGGGGTGAGGCGTTGAGGCGGGGGTGAGGCGTTGAGGCGGGGGTGAGGCGTTGAGGCGGGGTGAGGCGTTGAGGCGGGGGTGAGGCGTTGAGGCGGGGGTGAGGCGTTGAGGCGGGGGTGAGGCGTTGAGGCGGGGGTGAGGCGTTGAGGCGGGGGTGAGGCGTTGAGGCGGGGGTGAGGCGTTGAGGCGGGGGTGAGGCGTTGAGGCGGGGGTGAGGCGTTGAGGCGGGGGTGAGGCGTTGAGGCGGGGGGTGAGGCGTTGAGGCGGGGGGGGGTGAGGCGTTGAGGCGGGGGTGAGGCGTTGAGGCGGGGGTGAGGCGTTGAGGCGGGGGTGAGGCGTTGAGGCGGGGGTGAGGCGTTGAGGCGGGGGTGAGGCGTTGAGGCGGGGGTGAGGCGTTGAGGCGGGGGTGAGGCGTTGAGGCGGGGGTGAGGCGTTGAGGCGGGGGTGAGGGCGTTGAGGCGGGGGTGAGGCGTTGAGGCGGGGGTGAGGCGTTGAGGCGGGGGTGAGGCGTTGAGGCGGGGTGAGGCGTTGAGGCGGGGGTGAGGCGTTGAGGCGGGGGTGAGGCGTTGAGGCGGGTGAGGCGTTGAGGCGGGGGTGAGGGCGTTGAGGCGGGGGTGAGGCGTTGAGGCGGGGGTGAGGCGTTGAGGCGGGGTGAGGCGTTGAGGCGGGGGTGAGGGCGTTGAGGCGGGGGTGAGGCGTTGAGGCGGGGGTGAGGCGTTGAGGCGGGGGTGAGGCGTTGAGGCGGGGGTGAGGCGTTGAGGCGGGGGTGAGGCGTTGAGGCGGGGGTGAGGCGTTGAGGCGGGGGTGAGGCGTTGAGGCGGGGGGTGAGGCGTTGAGGCGGGGGTGAGGCGTTGAGGCGGGGGTGAGGCGTTGAGGCGGGGGTGAGGCGTTGAGGCGGGGTGAGGCGTTGAGGCGGGGGTGAGGCGTTGAGGCGGGGGTGAGGCGTTGAGGCGGGGGTGAGGCGTTGAGGCGGGGGTGAGGCGTTGAGGCGGGGGTGAGGCGTTGAGGCGGGGGTGAGGGGCGTTGAGGCGGGGGTGAGGCGTTGAGGCGGGGGTGAGGCGTTGAGGCGGGGGGTGAGGCGTTGAGGCGGGGGTGAGGCGTTGAGGCGGGGTGAGGCGTTGAGGCGGGGGTGAGGCGTTGAGGCGGGGGTGATGTGGTAGTGGCCCGTCTATCAGAGGAGGCTCGGATTCCTCATGCCATGCCCTGCCATGTTTTGGCTGCATTGCCTGCCTGTCTGCCTGCCATGCTTTATCTTCCTGGTTCTCGCTCCCCCCGCTCTCACCACTTTCCCTCCTATGACCTCGTTCCGCCCGCTTGTCTCTGTCGCTTGCGCTCCCCTTCCCTCTTCGTTCCTTCCTCTTCTCTTCTCTCCCTCCCCTCTCCATAGGTCTTTCGCTTTTCTGTGACCATTCCGATCCCTCTTGATCCTTCATTTTTCACCCTTTTCTGTTCGTCTTTCTCCTTTCTCAGCGCGCCCACTCTCCATACTTTATGTGCAAACTCGCGCATTCATCCAGCCCTTTCTTCCCCTCGCCCCCTTTCTTTTCCCTTGCCCACTCTCCTTCCCGCCGCCCCCTCCCTCTCTCCGTTTCCTCTGCCTGCTCTCCTCCCCTCCTCTCTCCTCCCTCCCCCACCTCCCCCCCCCCCCCCTCTCCTTCTCCTCGCCCCCTCTTCTTCTCCCCGTCCTTCTCCTTTTCCTCACCCCTTCTCCTTCCACTTTGGCCCCTTTCCTCCCCCCGCCCCCCCTTTCCAGTGGAAGCTGTCAGGAGGCGCCGTGGAGTGTGGCGCTGTTCGGTGCTCCCAGTGACGGCCGGACCAGCAAGTTAGTGGTTCTTTGGAAGCGAGTGTGTATAAGAACAGGAGAGAGCATGTGTAATGCCTTCGTTATTGCTTGGGTTGGCCCGGCCGCTTTCCCCACCGACAGGCGTGGCTTTGGTTGGGGTGGAGCGTGAATTCGGCATAGAGCTGGGAGCGAGCAACCTGAGTGGCTGTTTGGAGGGAGTTATGAGAGGTGGACTGAGAGGTTAGAGAGACAGCGGATCGAGTGGAGTGCGAGTGGCAGAATTCCTGGTGGAGTGCGCGCCCACTTCGCCACCCTTCTTCCCCACTACCACTTAGCCGTGCGCTAGAGGTGATAAACTTCCTGCACCTGCCAGCGTGCTGTTTGAGGGGCTAATGGATCGGATCGAATACATGCTGCCACCTGCTGACATGGATGAGGTGGGCTGTGAGTTGTGTTAGATGTGTTTTTTCACTGCTTTGGAAAATCGATCCATTGCCTTGACAGAAGCAGCACCACCGCGTGCTCTTTGAGGGTTGATGGACACGGCACCACTGCCGCCAGCATATATGGATGAGGTGAGCTGCGAGAAAAAGGTCAAAAGCACCATCGCTGAGGGAGCTTCTGTGAGGCTTCAATCATTGCTCAACTGTTCCATGGGTTGCAGTCCTCTCACCAAACCTCACAAACTTTCAACTGTATTTCCCAACCTCGTTCTCAAACCTTGTCCCAAGCTTAATTTTTCCAATCCGTGTTTCTGAAACTCGTTCCCCAACCGTGGTTCCAAACGCATGTTCCCGAACCGTTTTTCCTATCCTTGTTCCTCAACCCTGATTTCTGGGCCACCCCAACTTCCCCCTACCCATTCCCCCTGCTCCCATCTGCACATGTGTGTACCTTGATCTGCCGGTAGTGGCTGGCGGCTAGAGGTTTGTGATTGATGATGTGGAGCTGCAATCACGGCCTCGCTTGCTCCCTCACACCCACGCATGGCCTCTCAGGCACGAGGCACAGCCGACGCAAGCCCTGCATTAGTAGCCTTGCTGCTGTAGACTGTCAGAAATTCGCGTTTTAAATCAGGATAGAGCAATAGAGTGTCCTGGTGTCCTATCAATGCTTAAAGCCCGAGTACAGCATGGTAATTTTCAAGTTCAAGATTCTTGAACTTGAAGTCGCCAAAAACAGGGTTACCCTGCTTGTTTTGAAAAAACTCTTGCGACCCCAGCCAATCGTCCTGCGACAACGGAACCCGAGTGCCCAAAACCAGAACTGACGCGATAATCGCCAACCATATGCACTGTTCACCACTCACATAACTTGCTTACCAAGTAGTACTCATAGGCTAGGAGGCTCCAAGGCAAAAACTAGCGCTAGTTGGCAAAAGCGAGTCGTTGATAGGTTTTTTTTTTTGTGCGGAAAGAAATATAAGTCCACCTCAACCATCTTAGTCAGTGCACGCTCCGATCTCTCCCTCGCGTCACCAGTCTCGTGTTACAACCCGGGCACCCACGGCACTTACGTTAGTAAACGAGATTCGCGTTACTCGAGTCTTGCATTCAAGCTCGCGTCGCACACGCAGGCTCTTGTCACACTTGCTGCGGTTCAGTCTCGTGTCACGATCGTACCGTTTTAGGCACGGGTCGCTCACGCGAATGCCGTAGTGGTTCGCGTTTCCCTCATCACCCTCCCCGACCCTCTGGTCGCATATGTTCCCCTAGTCGCCCGCGCTTTCCCACGTCAACCACACATCCCCTCGTCGCAATTGCTGATAGTAAACATACCGCGCTTCAGATCGTCACCCGCGCTCCCCTCATCACCCTCGTCGACCCGCACCGATCCTCGCCGCCCTCACCTCCCTTAGTCACCCACATTCCCTCTCGTCGCTCGCGCTTCCCCTCATCACCCTTGCCGACCCTCGCCGCCCTCGCCTCCCCTCGTCGCCCGCGCGTCCCGTCGTCGGGCTTGCCTCCCAGTCACTCGCGCTTCCCCTCGTCATCCGCGTTTCCATCCGCTCTTCCCATCTCACCATCTCCAGCCCGCCCTTCCTCATTCCTTCCGAAGGGGTGGGACAGAGGGGGAGGAACAGATGGGGAGGAACATATGGGGAGGAACATATGGGGAGGAACATATGGGGAGGAACAGATGGGGAGGAACAGATGGGGAGGAACAGATGGGGAGGAACAGATGGGGAGGAACAGATGGGGAGGAACAGATGGGGAGGAACAGATGGGGAGGAACAGAGGTGGTCGCTTCCGCCACCACAATCGAACAGCGTTTCGATCCCCTCTCTGCTCCCCACCATCCTCCCCCCAACTCTCTCCCCGGCATCTGCCCCCGTTCCCCCCATCCTCTTCCCTGTTTCCCCGTATCCCCTGCCGTGCTTCCCCCCATCATATCCCCTCTTACCCCGTATCCCCTGCCCTGCTTCCCCCCATCCCTTCCCTGCTTCCCCCCATCCCCCTCCCTGTTTCCCCCCATCCCCTTCCCTGCTTCCCCTCATCCCCTTCCCTGCTTCCCCCCATCCCCTCCCCTGCTTCCCCCCATCCCCCTCCCTGCTTCCCCCCATCCCCCTCCCTGCTTCCCCCCATCCCCTTCCCTGCTACTTCCCATCCCTCCCCCTGCTTCACCCCATCCCCTCCCCTGCTTCCCCCCATCCCCTTCCCTGCTTCCCCCCATCACCTTCCCTGCTTCCCCCCATCCCCTCCCCTGCTTCCCCCCATCCTATCCCCTCTTACCAAGTATCCCCTGCCCTGCTTCCCCCCATCCCTTCCCTGCTTCCCCCCATCCCCCTCCCTGTTTCCCCCCATCACCTTCCCTGCTTCCCCTCATCCCCTTCCCTGCTTCCCCTCATCCCCTTCCCTGCTTCCCCCCATCCCCTCCCCTGCTTCCCCCCATCCCCCTCCCTGCTTCCCCCCATCCCCCTCCCTGCTTCCCCCCATCCCCTTCCCTGCTACTTCCCATCCCTCCCCCTGCTTCCCCCCATCCCCTTCCCTGCTTCCCCCCATCACCTTCCCTGCTTCCCCCCATCCCCTCCCCTGCTTCCCCCCATCCTATCCCCTCTTACCCCGTATCCCCTGCCCTGCTTCCCCCCATCCCTTCCCTGCTTCCCCCCATCCCCCTCCCTGTTTCCCCCCATCCCCTTCCCTGTTTCCCCCCATCCCCTTCCCTGCTTCCCCTCATCCCCTTCCCTGCTTCCCCCCATCCCCTACCCTGCTTCCCCCCATCCCCCTCCCTGCTTCCCCTCATCCCCTTCCCTGCTTCCCCCCATCCCCTCCCCTGCTTCCCCCCATCCCCCTCCCTGCTTCCCCCCATCCCCTTCCCTGCTACTTCCCATCCCTCCCCCTGCTTCCCCCCATCCCCTTCCCTGCTTCCCCCCATCCCCTGCCCTGCTTCCCCCCATCCCCTTCCCTCCTTCCTCCCATCCCCTTCCCTCCTTCCTCCCATCCCCTTCCCTGCTTCCCCCCATCCCCTTCCCTGCTTCCCCCCATCCCCTTCCCTGCTTCCCCCCATCCCCTCCCCTGCTGCCTCCCATCACTCTCATTCTCCTTCCTCCCGCACTCACTCTCTCAGTCCTCTCGCACTCTCTCTCTCTCCGTCCTCTCGCACTCGCACTCTCCTTCCCGCCACCCTCAGCCCTCCTTCCCCTCACCCTCTCCCCTGTTCCCACCTGCCCTCCCCATCCCCGCCTTTCCCTCCCTGCCCTGCCCTTCCCTTCTCCATCCCTTCTCAACCCTTCCCTTTCATGTCATGCCCTCCCTTCCCCCTCACCTTCCGCCCTCTAGTTCCCATGCATGTGCACCCATCACTGTCTCCCCATACCAGTACATGCTTTCATCATGTGCGCTTGCTTGTGTTCCCCTGCAGTTGTTCCCTTGGCACCTCACACCACCCCCCCCATGTTCCGTCACACAATTCTTTCTGCCTACTCCACTCCCCAAATTTTCAGTGAAGCAGAGGAGCAAGCTGAGGCGCAGCTAGAGCTAGTCCATGCTTTACACCGTACCACCACCTGTTTCTTGCCTGTTGTATGCAAGCATGATACTGTATTACTGTTGGAGATATCCATCTCAAAAGCACAATATGTAATTTTGTTTCTGCAGTGCAATATATTCTTCCAAGATGCATGGGCACTAAGAGTGTCAGAAGGGTAGATAGAGGCATGATCCTGATACTTTTGACTGTACCCTTATCAAGGCCTTGAAAAAAACATGAGGGGAACTGGTTTCACTACGAGCGTGGCATGGGATGATGGGCTTCGGCGAGTTGCTGTGCCAGAAAATCTTCATTGGTGTCACTGCACTACCCAGGGAGAGGGAGGGAATACGAGGGATGGGGAGGGGGAACAAGACTAAAGTCAAACAGGGGAGATAGGGAAGAGGGGGAAGAGGGAAGCAGGGCTGAGAGGGAAAGAAGGAAGTACCGTAAGAAGAGGGAGGGAAATGAGGGGAAGCAAGGGGGGAACTGAGGAGAAGCAGGGAGGGAAATGTGGGGAAGCACGGATGAGGGGAAGAAAGGGTGGGCCATGGGCCTAGAGGGCCGTGAGAGAGGGGGGGGGGTGGACTTGAGGGACGGGAGTGGCAGGCTGGAGGGGAGCAGGAGAGGAGGAGGGGAGTGGCATGGGGAGCAGAGCAGAGCAGCATTGCGACCTGCCTGCAGCGTCATCCCCCACGGCGGAGATGAGGAAGGGCGCGGCGGAGAGTGCTGCCATGCACTCCGCTATGTTGTGCGCCACCCCCCCTGCGAGGAGGAACAGGGGAATGGCGCGGCTGGCAGAGAGAAAGGAAGGAGGAGGGGGGGAGGGGGAGAGGGGGAGGGGCGGGACACACATGAGAGGTTGAGACATGCCGCAGTGGACGATACTCCCCCCTCGAATTCCTTTCTCCTGCCCTCCCTCCCTGCCTCATGCGGGAGGAAGAAAACGGGTGGGGGAAAGGGAGGAAGGGGACAACCATGAGGGGTAGGGGTTGGAAAGGGGCGGGGGCGGGTGGAGGTTTGGCGAGAAGGGGAATAGGAACCAGAGGATAGGGCGCAGAGCATTGGGCGCAGAGCATAGGGCGCAGAGCATAGGGAGCAGAGCATAGGCGCAGAGCATAGGGCGCAGAGCATAGGGCGCAGAGCATAGGGCGCAGAGCATAGGGCGCAGAGCATAGGGCGCAGAGCATAGGGCGCAGAGCATAGGGCGCAGAGCATAGGGCGCAGAGCATAGGGCGCAGAGCATAGGGCGCAGAGCATAGGGCGCAGAGCATAGGGCGCAGAGCGCAGGGCGCAGAGCGCAGGGCGCAGAGCGCAGGGCGCAGAGCGCAGGGCGCAGAGCGCAGGGCGCAGAGCGTAGGGCGCAGAGCGTAGGGCGCAGAGCGCAGAGCAGAGGGGGCAGAGCGCAGGGGGCGGAGGGGGCAGAGCGCAGGGGGCAGAACGCAGAGCGGAGGGGGCAGAACGCAGAGCGCAGGGGACAGAGCGCAGGGGGCAGAACGCCGGGGGCAGAACACAGAGCGCAGGGGGCAGAGCGCAGAGTGCAGGGGCGCGGAGCACGTGTACCTGTCCTGGCGTGGTGGTGCCTCGTTCCAGCGCCCTCTCCACGCTGCTTGTCGACCAGACCAGTGCGCGCGCTGGACGTTTGCGGGTCGACGCGCTGCTAGACGACCAGTGAAGTTTGCGTAACCCTAAGGGTCTGCGTAGTGTGGACGCCCCACAGCGTGGAATTGCCCTAAGTAATAGGCACTTTCGAGCCCAGTTTACGGGAGCAATGCCCCGAAACCGTCGACCTACGTGCTGCCAGTGGTAATCGCCAGTGGTAATCGCGCGATGTCGAGTTCTTCTCAACGCTCCTTCCTGCGGCCCAGCATGTACGTGTTCTGGCTCGTCACCTACGTCACCTCCTTCCTGCGGTTATTTCACACGTGAAGTTGTTAGCTTGATTGATCATGGTGTTTTTTCTCCTCACTCGTTCTGAGGTTGTTGGTGCTTCCCGTTTTCGTTTTTGCTAGTAGTTGCATTGGGCGAGGATGTTCTCCACTTCTTGATCCTGATTGGTCAAAGAACAATCCGTGCGACACTCCTTCCAGTCGCCCCACACTGCCCTGCAAGTTTGTCAAAGCTTTGCGTTTGGCGAGACCCCTTTCCTCCTCGTCAATCAATCGCTTTTTCGCTACACTGACTATGCCGAAATAATTGTTTTTCAGGTTTCGCCAACACTATTTCAAACCCACATAACTTGATAAAACACCATGTGGTACTCGGGCTTTAACATGTGACTTCCCAATGTCATTGGGAATAGTATTGTCATTACCATATTTCCAATTAAGATGTATAGATACATTATTATTTGTTGGATGGAAGCTACAGACACAAGACTATCAGCACCAGCCCTACAGTTTGACTCAAACTGCTTGTCTGAACCTTGGAATAACTGCTGCAATTCTCTAGAAATCGTGCCACCACCCGCACAGCATTCTCTCGCCCAATTACGGCATCAGCCAATACCGCCACCTTGCCTAGCAGGTTCTCCTTCGATATACTCAAAACCTGAGGGTAGCTCCTTGCAATTCTCCCTGCTGCTTTCTCCCCCACCAGCCCCACAAAGAACTGGAGCTTAGCTAAATAATTTCTTTGCTGAAACCGAGGATGGTGGGGGCACGCCGAAGCACAGTGGTCGCATTGGAGTGGTCGTTGGGGGAAGTGAAGGACTGGAGGATGGCAATATTTTCTGCAATGCCATAGGAAGGAACAGAGAAGATGGATGGGTGTTTCAAAATAAGCCCGCTTAGATGGACATTCTGCCCATCTTGTTGTTGCTTCACGAGGCCTGTGCTGGTGCCTTTTGAGGCGCCTCAAAAGACACCTGTAGTTGCTGCTTCAGGAGGCCTGTGCTGGTGCTACCAGCTTCTACCTACCTTCCACATCCCGCCTTCAGGTAAGTGGTATGCAGGGCGAGAGCTGGCAGCACGCTATTGGAGTAAAAGGCAGGCAGGCGGGCGGCAATCCCTAGGGCCATGTAGGCGAAGATGAGGGAGAGGGAGAGGTGGAAGACGGCGAAGAGGGCTGCAGACAACAAGGCAGCGTTGATCCTGAGGGAGAGAAAGGCAGGAAAGGGGATAGTGCAGGGGAGAAAGAAGGGAAAAATACAGGAGAGAAGATATCAAGCGCGTGAAGATGCGAAAGAACGAGTGACATTCGACTGATGAGAGAGAATGTGGGCTATGGGAATGGAGGGCACTTATCAAACTAAATTAGGTGGTTCCAGTGGAGCCTTGCCAAACCTCACTACCGAGCCTCCTTTCAAGCCTCTCACCTGCCATGCACAGTGGACGGGGACGGGCAACCACTGCTACAGCTGCCTCTGCTAGAGCTGCCTCTGCTACAGCTGCCTCTGCTACTGGGGCGGATGGGGATGGGCAACCACTGCTACAGCTGCCTCTGCTACAGCTGCCTCTGCTACAGCTGCCTCTGCTACTGGGGCGGACGGGGACGGGCAACCACTGTAGCAGCCACACCCCCTCCAGTCCCACCCAGCAGCAACAAAGGACCCAGCAACAAGGCTGTGGCACCCCTCCTGCTCCTTGTGCTCCTCCTGCTGCTGCTGCTGCTGCTGCTGCTGCTGCTGCTGCTGCTAGTTCTGGTAATCCCCCTCCCCCCACCCCTCCAGCACCAGTAAAAAAATCAAAACTGGAGAGAAAAGCAGAGGCCATAGAATAAGTCCCCCCGCTGCCCCTGCCGGAATCGCCTTCCACAAGTTATCGACCCCCCCCCCCCCCCCCCTAACACTCCCCTGTCCCCGTCCCCGTCCGCCGCACAGTGGTTGATGCAATGGTGATTTCTGAAGAGAGGGGCTAATGTAGAGAGGCACACACAGACATCAGGCATTGGCACACACCCTCACTCTCAGGCATTGGCACACACCCTCACTCTCAGGCATGGACTCTTAGGCCCGGGGCACATTGGAAGCCGAAGAAGCATATCAACAGCAGCACTACAGTGTGACCCCAAACTTTTTCTCAAACTGCTTGTCTGAGCATTGGAGAAACTGCTGCAACCACACCACTTTCCTTTTCGACTCCAAATTGACAAACCACTGCTCTGTAGCAGCTCCCCCCCTTGGTTCGTGATTGCCTGGGAATTCCTCAAGCAGCAATCCACTACCAAAATCCTCTCCTTCGCCCTGCTGCTCTTGCCTGTCACCCGTTCTTACGCTCCTTCTCTTTTCCGCTCCCAACTTAATCCCCTCCGCTTCCACCACTTCATTTGAAAGCGCGGGAAAAACAGAACCCAGCTTGCTCCTCTCTTCCCCAGCTTCAATCAAAACATCTCTCCTGTCTTCGACACTCCTCCGTCTAACTGCCTCACGTGGCACAACCGCGCAGCCCATTCGCACCAGTGCCACATGCCGCGGTCTGATTCGCCGATCCAAGCTGAAGGTAAGAAAGTTTGGAAAAGCAAGCACTTCTGCAAAGGACAGCCCCATGTCCCGCTTTAAGTACTCCACCTTATGCTTCAGGTTCGCTTCCCAGCTAAAGTGGAAAGACTGCGGGCACTTGACCACCAAATCCACCACCAACCGATGAGCCCTGGATCTCTTGTCACTTTGAGCCCCAGATTCATCCTCCTCATCCAACCAATCACCTCCTCCCAACCTCAGCATCCCACTTCCCTCACTGCTTTCCAAAGCCTCTTCCACTTCTCGCACAAGCTCTCTGAAACTGTTCTTCATGTTATCTTCACTAGAAGTCAGTAACGTAGGAAATCGTGCCACCACCCGCAGAGCATTCTCTCGCCCAATTGAATCAACCAATACCGCCATCTTGCCTTGCAGATTCTCGTTTGATAGCTGCAGAACATGCGGGCAGCTCCTCGCCACTCTCCCTGCTGCTTTCTCCCCCACCAGCCCCACAAAAAACTGGAGCTTGGATATAAAAGTTTCTGAGTTAAAGGAGAGGAGGGTAGGGGCACGACGGAGCACAGAGCTCGCAACAGAGGGGGTGCCTGGGGGAGTGAAGGACTGGAGAATGCTGATATTCTCGGCAATGCGGTGGGACGAAGAACTGAGGATGGATGGAAACTTCAAAATAAGCCTGGTTAAGTGGTTCCTGTCCAGATGCTGCTCATCTAGTTGCTGCTTCAAGTGGCCTGTGCTGGTGCTACCTGTCTCTAACTTCCCTCCGCATCCCGCCTTCAGGTAGGCTGATAGCATCTCAAGTTGAGTATTCACCGAATCTTTGCTCCGAGTCAAGATGGACGGACATTTCTCTATGATCACACCCAGCTTGTCCACAGGAACCCCTGCTCTCTCCACCAGAATGTCCAGTATCGTTGAACGTGCCTCCCAGCAGAGTACACCCCGGCCACGCAGGAGCACGTAGCCTAATCTGCTTCGGCGGACGCCTTGAGCCAAAAGAAACTCAAGAATATCCTGAATCTGCGGCAGGGAGTTTCGGAGCCAGGTTGGGTTCCTCAAAGTGATGCGCATGACGTCAGCTTCGCAAATGCCGTACGACTGGAGGAGACGAACACGTGGCAGGAAGTCATTGGTGGGATTGGAGCGGAGGAGTTGCGGGTAAGAGGCGAGGAGGGAAGCGGCAGTGGAAGGGGAGGAGATACCGAGGTGGGAGGAGAAGAAGCGGTAGAGGGAAAGGAGGGAGGAGAGAGTGGTTGCACGTGCGCGGCGAGATATGGTGCCTGGTGAAACCTCCTCACTAGCTTCAGCTTCTGCTTCCTCTTTCTTCGCTCCTGGGTCCATTCCATCCTTCTCCTCCTCAGCCGCCACTTCTTCCTCTCCCTCCACCTCCTCAACCCCCTCATTCCCTCCGTTCCCGAGCCCTTCCTCGTCCTCCTCTCTCACAATCTGAGGTCCGTATCTCTTCATCAGCACTTGAGCAATTACTGCCACAGCCTCCTCCTCCTCCTTGGTTCCTTCCCCCTCTCTGCTCTTACTCTCGCTTCCGTCGCTTCTTGCTTCCGCTTTGTCTGCTCTCCTCCCACGCCTCTGGCCTCCAACTTCCTTGGTTCCCGCCTGCTTTTCCTCAACATATTTTGCGCTCCGCTCTGCTTCTCTATCAGCTCCCACCTCATCCTCCCGCAAGCCAAGCGCCTCAAAACTCAGGCCCAACGGTCGGCTTGTCGTCGGCTGTCAATTGCATTTTAAGGTTTGTAACCGCCGCCTCTGGAGAGTCTTCTGGCGTGGAAGCGTTATTAGCATCGCATCTGATCGCAACGATCCGGTGAGGGGTTCGAACCCTGACGAAGGCTTTCTCTACAGAGTGATTCAATGTGAGGAATCCGAGATGGTACGGGCTTGACCATGACGGAAAAGCAGATCTGAATGGATTCATGTGGGTCTTATCAAGAGATCTGCAAGGACGAACACGGATCTGCGTGTAGTCTAAGCTGAAAATCGACATGACTGACGGGAATGAAGGAACAACACACGCCATGGCGAACATCAGAGGAGCCGGATTAACTATTAAGGTCAATAACTCGTGGTTACATAAAGAGTTCCTAAGCGGTTCGCCGCTTCAAGTAATTTGCAGTTACTAAGAATCGCTCATGTTCGCCGGTTGAGCAAACGCTACTTTCCCAGACCAGAAGCTCCCTGCTGGTTTGGCTCATATTCGGTTTCCGAAGGTTTTCATTTCAGGCTCGCTCAAAATTCTTGTTGGAGTGCACCCGCACCACCATCACACGCACACCTCGAGCGATGCGAAACCATCACGATGTTACATTGTAGTCGTTCACGGCAGGAGCGAATACAGCATGCATTGTCGAAACTCGAAACTGCCTGATACCGTACAGAAGTTTGTTCGCTTTTCGCAAGGGCAACTCAGTAGCAGAACGGACGAACTACTACTGTTTGGGGTGACGACGTAAGTCCCATAAATCTGTCCACTAATATGTCTCGAGGTTTCCCACATAACGCTCATTCTTCTTTCAGGAGCCAAATAGTTCTCACACTGCTCACGCGGCCCATCTCTCTCTCAAGACCAAGGCGGGCCACGCTACGTGATGGGGTCTAGAGACCGTTCACGATCCAAATGGACGTTACTTCTCGCGTTCTAAATAACTTTCATGCTCAAGCCGTGAATATAGTAGTAGGAAACATATCACGGTTGAAACGAAAGGTGTGCCCTTCACTTGTCCTGCTGCGCGATCGCGATTCCCTCCCTTCGCATGTCGTCACTAGTACAGTGCGAGTGTGTCACCTCCCTTGTCCCCGCTATAAGCAGTAGCAGGCAGGGCAGTGGCCCTCGCGGGCTTGGCGCAGAGGGGGCAGCAGGCGCAGGAGCGAACGGAGGAGCGGAAGCGACGACAGGGAATAGAAACGGAGGGAGAGCGAAAGGGACGAGCATAACGGGAGAGAATGAGGAGCTGTGACTCTCTTAATAGCTTCTCAAACAGGCAGACGAAGAAAGACTCGTTCTGCAGGCCGAAGCGACCGATGTTGCGTCAGCTGCTGGGCGATGGCAGGGTGAGTCGGTCGAGTGTAATCGTGTCAACATAGTCCTCGTCCTTTTCCCTTCCGCTCTTGATCGGTTCACCTCGCACAATTCCCCTTCCTCCCTTCCCCCGTGTCGTGCTTGAATCATCGCAAGCCTCTCACGTGCCGCACCTCTCGCGAATGCGCCTCCTCACGCTGCGACCCCTCATCCGCCCTCCGCGCCTCCCGCGTCGAAGCGCAATGCGTCTTGCCTGACTCCCATGAAGATGCGACATCTGTTGACGTGACGGGGGCGCATGGCGGTCCCTCTTGCCTGATCCTCCTCCCTCTGCCCTCCGGCCACACTGAGCCTCAGCGGCTGGAGTGGCAGCTCCTGAGTGCCACGTGGCACGGCAGTGTCGCCACTTAAGAAGACGGGTGGCGGGGAGAGCTGTATAGTGAGTGACGTGGCTGAAGCAAGTGCTTCAATCTTCCTGGGACAGGAGCAGCAGGTGAGAGCAGCAGGTGAGAGCAGCAGTGAGAGCAGCAGGTGAGAGCAGCAGGTGAGAGCAGCAGGTGAGAGCAGCAGGTGAGAGCAGCAGGTGAGAGCAGCAGTGAGAGCAGCAGGTGAGAGCAGCAGGTGAGAGCAGCAGGTGAGAGCAGCAGTGAGAGCAGCAGGTGAGAGCAGCAGGTGAGAGCAGCAGGTGAGAGCAGCAGGTGAGAGCAGCAGGTGAGAGCAGGCAGGAGGAAGGGCAGGAAGGTGAGCAAGCGAGGTCTGGCTTTTGTGAGCAGGAGATGCAAACGGGACAGCAAATGCTGGAGGGTGACAAATCGAGGTGGAGGTGTGGGGGAGTGTATGGTGGGGATGCGGTGAAATTGCACAGTGTGTTGACTGGTACGTTGTGATGCATGTCACAAAGTAGATGCCTGTGCAATTTAGAAGGATATATATATTCTGATGCCTTCACATTGCTTGGTGCTCGCTGCAAAGGCACCATCGCTCTGCCTTCGCTCGCGGCCACCATCGCTGCCCCACCATTCCCACCCACCCACGCCCCGATCCCCCCTTGCGATAGAAGGCAGGGCAGGGCGGCAGTGGGTAGGGCAGGAGGAGGCGAGGAGGGACGGCTGGGGTGCAAGAATTGGGAGGTAAGAGAGAGGATAGATTGTAGAGAGAAACGTGGAGAAGGAAAGGAGATGGTACAGAAGTGAGCACTGGGAACGGGAGTGGGTATATGGTGGGTAGCAATTTGCTGTCAACGGTGGGGGTGGTGAGGCAGTATGCGAGGTGTTGAGGAAGAGGGATGGGCGAACAGGAGTTCCTATCCTCTCCTGTCGCTTCCCGGTCGCCCCTATCCCTCTCCTCTCCTCTCCCGTCCACTTCTCACCATCTCAGGCCCCCTCCTCTGCCCTCCATAATCCCCCCACTTTCTCCCGCAGGAACCCGAGTGGGAGGGGAACACGAGCGCTTTGTCCGTGCACTGCTGCAGCAGCTTCTGCCGCATCGACAATCCCAGGCCTGCTGCAGAAGCATCAGCGGCGGTTGTGTCTGTAGCAAACTCCTTCCACTCCACTAAGCACCACCGATCTGATCCCCGCATGCATCTTCCCGCACGCATTTCCCCAATTCTCTCTGCTTGGGTTCCAGGTGTTAGCAGCTGATTGGCAGAACTACGTCTTGCCGTGGCCAAGTCTTTTCCCCATCACACCCGAGTATTTTTCTCCCCCTTCGTGCCATTCACCTTGTGCCTTCCCATCTCAGGTCCTCTGCTCGTCATCACCCTCCCATGTGCACCTCCACCATCCCACTCAAGCGGCAGCACCATAGACATCGCACCTTCAGGCACCGCCTCTCCCTCCCACCCTCATTACCTACTCCAGTCCAGAGCCACCTGCTGTCACCCATCTGCCACCTGCTGTCACCCATCTGCCACCTGCTGTCACCCATCTGCCACCTGCTGTCACCCATCTGCCACCTGCTGTCACCCATCTGCCACCTGCTGTCACCCATCTGCCACCTGCTGTCACCCATCTGCCACCTGCTGTCACCCATCTGCCACCTGCTGTCACCCATCTGCCACCTGCTGTCACCCATCTGCCACCTGCTGTCACCCATCTGCCACCTGCTGTCACCCATCTGCCACCTGCTGTCACCCATCTGCCACCTGCTGTCACCCATCTGCCGCCTGCTGTCACCCATCTGCCACCTGCTGTCACCCATCTGCCACCTGCTGTCACCCATCTGCCACCTGCTGTCACCCATCTGCCACCTGCTGTCACCCATCTGCCACCTGCTGTCACCCATCTGCCACCTGCTGTCACCCATCTGCCACCTGCTGTCACCCATCTGCCGCCTGCTGTCACCCATCTGCCGCCTGCTGTCACCCATCTGCCACCTGCTGTCACCCATCTGCCACCTGCTGTCACCCATCTGCCACCTGCTGTCACCCATCTGCCACCTGCTGTCACCCATCTGCCACCTGCTGTCACCCATCTGCCGCCTGCTGTCACCCATCTGCCGCCTGCTGTCACCCATCTGCCACCTGCTGTCACCCATCTGCCACCTGCTGTCACCCATCTGCCACCTGCTGTCACCCATCTGCCACCTGCTGTCACCCATCTGCCACCTGCTGTCACCCATCTGCCACCTGCTGTCACCCATCTGCCACCTGCTGTCACCCATCTGCCACCTGCTGTCTCCCATCTGCCACCTGCTGTCACCCATCTGCCGCCTGCTGTCACCCATCTGCCGCCTGCTGTCACCCATCTGCCACCTGCTGTCACCCATCTGCCACCTGCTGTCACCCATCTGCCACCTGCTGTCACCCATCTGCCACCTGCTGTCACCCATCTGCCACCTGCTGTCACCCATCTGCCGCCTGCTGTCACCCATCTGCCGCCTGCTGTCACCCATCTGCCACCTGCTGTCACCCATCTGCCACCTGCTGTCACCCATCTGCCACCTGCTGTCACCCATCTGCCACCTGCTGTCACCCATCTGCCACCTGCTGTCACCCATCTGCCACCTGCTGTCACCCATCTGCCACCTGCTGTCACCCATCTGCCACCTGCTGTCACCCATCTGCCACCTGCTGTCACCCATCTGCCACCTGCTGTCTCCCATCTGCCGCCTGCTGTCACCCATCTGCCACCTGCTGTCACCCATCTGCCGCCTGCTGTCACCCATCTGCCACCTGCTGTCACCCATCTGCCGCCTGCCATCGTACCTTCAGGCACCACATCTCCCTCCCTCCCCCGATTGTCTGATATGCTCTCACCCCATGCCCCCTTCTTTCATGCCGCTCTCACTCACTGTGGTGCGCATATATTTTTCCTCCGCATCCCGCTCTCTCTCCCTCTTCCCCCATCTCATACTCCCCTCACCCCTCTCCCCACCTCCCCCCTTTTGCCTTCCCCCTCTCCCTCGATTGTGGGTGGTTGATGGTGGCAGCAGAATGGCGCCATACACCAATCGAGAGTGGCACCACACTTCAATCGACTTTCAAAACCTTCACCCCCCCTGGCCCCACCTTCCGTTCCCCTTTCCTACTCCTACTCTCTTGTTCCACCACACCCTCCTTCCCTTAATCTTCCTGAGGGGGAGGGACCGAGGGGGAGGGACAAAGAGGTGGGGGGGGGGTGCAGAGGGGGAGAGACAAGGGGGGGGGGGGGGGGGGAACAGAGGTGGAGGGTCACAGGGGGAGGGACGGGGATGGAGCGAGAGAGGGGGAGGGTTTTGAGAGTGAGGCAGAGGGTACACGGTGGGGAAGGGACCGAGGGGAAGCCACAGAGGGGAACGGACCGAAGGGTTTAGGGAAGGGACCGAGGTAGAGAGCAAGAGAACGAGGGGCAGAGGGGTAGAGACAGAGGGGGAGGGACACATCCTTACCTTACCGCTCTCACAATCTGCTTACCCTCTTTCCTTCCCTTTCTTGATCACTCCTTCCCCCCTTTCCTCCATTGTCCTTCTAAACCCCCCTCCATCTTTCCTACCTTACCTATCTGCCACTGTCGTCCCTTATCCATTCTCTTATTCTTGCCTTCACCCAGCATTCCGCCGTCCTTCCTATCCTGTATCCTTTCCATCCCCACCGCACATTACCCACAATCCTACCCATCTCTGATCCCTTCCCCGTGCCCTCCATATTCTTACTCCTCACTCGACCCTTCTGTCCGCCCCTCCTTCCCCCTTCTCATTTCCCGCTGTTTCTCTTTCACCATGCAGATGTTGCTCGATGGACCCTAGACAATGTTGGGCTGAGAAAAGGCCTTAGGATTTTTGCAAGACTAAAACTCTGAGTAGAAATGTTGTAGTTGCGGAAGCGTTTTAATGACAAGTGTTGAACCACCTTGCGCTAGTATGTGAGGGCAAGATAGATTGATTATAAGAAAGTAATACAAGCCTTTTATAAGATTACAAGGAATATGAAAGGGTGTAACTAATAACTGTTTTACTGTTGCTGTTGCGGTTCGATACAGTGACGACTCGGGCAACTGCTCAGTATCGAGTCTTCACTTCCGCCACCGCGCTTCGGGCGCATCGGCGGAGTCTGCTGTATCGGCGGAATCGGCAGCATTGGCGGAATCTTCAGCTTCGGCGCATTCTGCAGCTTCGGCGCATTGTGCAGCGTCGGCGCATTGTGCAGCGTCGGCGCATTGTGCAGCTTCGGCGCATTGTGCAGCTTCGGCGCATTGTGCAGCGTCGGCGCATTGTGCAGCGTCGGAATGTGCAGCGTCGGCGGATTGTGCAGCGCATTCCCGAGCGTCAACGGCGTCAGCAGGTCGCAGCAGGGCAGCACATATTGTACCGCCGACGCGCATCCCGAAACCGAGCAGCAAGGGAGTGAATGTGAGGCGCGTGGAGGGAGCGACTCTGATTCCCAGGCCTAGCTGTGCTGCACCGCACAGGGAGGTGCGGGGAGTGCAACTTGAAGCTGCACGCAAGCGGCCTAGCACAACACCCAAGGTCGTGCTCGCTACCTCAAGGCGCCCATGGCGGCCTTGACTGCTGCAGTGAGAAACAAATGAATGGTAAAAAAAAGAGGGGAAAAAAACAACGAAAACAAAAAAAAAATCAACAAAAAAATATCCAGACGGAGAATGAAGGGAAATGGTGGGATGAAGTAAAGGCGGCGGATGACACAGATGCAGAGCAGTGGGGGGTTGTGGGGCGGTTTGGGGATGCGGGGTGGGGACCATGGTGGGACACTACCCTTTTTTGCAGCCTGCTTCACAGCAGGCTGTTTGTGGGAGTGTGGGTTTGCTGACCTTGGTGGATGGAGGGTGGAAGGCAAAAAAAACTGCTGCTCTGCTGATGTGCTCCTGAAGGGATGGCTCAGGACTGATGTGCTCCTGAAGGGATGGCTCAGCTCAGGACTGGGGTAGCAAATAGTTATTAGTTCCTCTGAAATTGTGGCTAGTTGTGCAAATCTGTAATGGTAGCATTGGCTATGATTATAGTATTTGAAGTGGCATTGGAGTATGAATGGATGCAGTAACCTTGCACGGCCTACTATAGATACTGCTGGGGTCAGTGAATGCTGTGACTGTCCATTCTTAGTCGACACACAATGCCTGCTCAAGCAAGTACCATACACCTCAATTTCTGCTGCAGCGGCAGTGCTTGTGAATTCACTTGACAGCCCTCGTGACGCACAGCAGAGCATGATGAGTTGAGACGGACCAAGGCAGTGGTTTCACAGGACAGAGCGGTCAGAAGCAACGTCCCTCGCTTGCAGCATATGAGGCAGGGTGCAGCACAAGCATGAAGGTGTGGCAGCAAGATCACGGTGTGGGCGTGGGCGTGGGCGTGGGCGTGGGCGTGGGGGAGTGACTGACGCCTGGCTGTCATTCCCTGCTGCTGCAGGTGCGTCAAGAGAGAGTGGCAGGGTGGACAGGAGGGAGGGAGGGAGGAAGGGGGGGAGAGTGAGTGAGTGAGTGAGCGAGGGAGTGAGTGAGGGAGGGAGCGGGGATGGAGGGAGGGGAATGGGCGGAGAGGAATGAGAGGTACGCAGAGTTAGGTTGCGAAGCAGGGTTAGTGCAGCGAGTGGTGGCATTGTGGGGGAGAGCAGCGAGGTGTAGCGGGCAGCGAGGGTGGGGTGGCAGGTGGTGGTGATTGTGGTGCAGTGATTGGCAATGCGGTGCATGGAGGCATACAAGGCGTGTGAATGGGCGTGATGGGCAATGCGTGAGAGTGAAGGGCAGTGCAGCTCCTTGAACCCCCCATCATGCCTCATCCACGCACTCACCTGCCCTCATCCCCACCCACCCCCATGCACAACCCCACCCACTACCACCCACGCACATCCACAGCAGGCAGCAACAAGGGCACGCATTGGGTGGCGGGTGGTAAGCAGGGCGAAGCAAGGAATGGTGGTTGGAGAGGAGCAAGGGGGCGGCAAGGGGGCCGCGCATGTGGAGAGCATGCGGGTGGGATGTGCATGCAGGTGGTTCCTCCCCCAATGGCATGTGCCCCGCATCCTGCATGCACCATGCCACATCAACCATGGCCCCTCTCACTCCACCAAACGCCCACACGGCACGCCCCCACGCCCCCACACTCCACGCTCACTGCCCCATGCGCACTCCCCCCAATCCACCCACCTCAAGAGCCAACGCCAGTTGCAGCGCAGAGAGTAGAAGCTGAATACTCCCGCGCCGCCACGCAGTAGCTGCCTCAACTCGCCCTCCCTGCGCGCCCCTGCTGCCACCCCCTGCACCCCTGCTTGCACTCCCTCGCCCGCTCCCACGTGGGCAGCAGCACGAGCATGCGCGTGCAGGCGAAAGCGCAGAGTGGGCGAGAGAAGCAGAGGCATGCATGCAGGCAAGGGCGGCGGGTGTGTGGCGAGGGAGAGGCGGAGGGTGAGAGCGCGTGTGGCGGGTGGAGTTGAGGGAGTGGCGGGCGTTGGAGTGGGTGAGGGAGGTGGCGGTGGTGGGCAGGAAGCAGGGTGGGCGCAGCGCAGCAGCACGTGGTGCCCCAAGCCTTGGTCCACGGCCACGCGCCCCAGCTGTCACGCGCGCCACTGCCACACGCCTCACGCGCATCACGTGCCACGCTGTCACGCCCACGGGCAAGAGGGATTGTTCCCGCGCCAAGGCCACCGCATGTCGCACTGTGAAGCGCCAAGGCACTCTCAACCGCACAGCACTAGCAGCGCTTTCCTGTTGCACTTGCCTCATGCCTTGCGCCATGTCATGCACTCACCGCACGCACCACACTCGCACCACTCTCCCCACTCACTCTCCCCACTCACTCTCACCACTCACTCTCACCACTCACTCTCCCCACTCACTCTCCCCACTCACTCTCACCTCTCACTCTCACCACTCACTCTCACCACTCACTCTCCCCACTCACTCTCACCACTCACTCTCCCCACTCACTCTCACCACTCACTCTCCCCACTCACTCTCACCACTCACTCTCCCCACTCACTCTCCCCACTCACTCTCACCACTCACTCTCACCACTCACTCTCACCACTCACTCTCCCCACTCACTCTCACCACTCACTCTCACCTCTCACTCCCGAGCGCGAGACTGAGTTGACGCTTTTAAGCGGAGTTGGGCGTGGGACGTGGTGTGTGTGGGAGAGGCTTACGGGAAAGCGGAGTGGGGCGGTGATGAGTGGTGCGGTGGTGGCGCGGATGGCGAGTGAAGCGCGCTGCCCACACGCCCACCAGCCCTAAACCCAACCGCGCACGCACGCCTGCTCGCTACCACCACGCCCATGCCGTGCGCCTCTGGGTAAGCTTCACTGCCGCGCGGGGGGGTAAGGGTCACTGCCGCGCGGGGGTGGGTGTGGGTGAGTGGCGCGCGGGGGTGGGGGTGGGCGAGCAGCGTGCAGAGAGTGGTGGGCACGGTCGGGTGGCGCGCGAATGGCGCTGCCGCGTGGATCCGCCGCTTGCGCTCGCAATGGGCTCGTCGCCCACCTCGTCCCACGCGCACCTGCCGCTTCACCGCCGCACCCGCGCCCGCACGCGCGCCTGCCGGAAGGCCGCTGCCCGCACGTGGCGACGCCAGCAGCAGCGCGGTGAGCATGCGACATGCGCGCCACTGGAGCCACGCGCAATCACCAAACCTCCCAACAGAAGTCTTTCGTTTCCACCCTCATTCCCCTACATACTTGAGCTCTTTCACAGCGCTTCCGTCTTGTTTCTATTACTCGCTCCACGCAGTGCGAGGCGGCGTGCAAAGCAGTGAGAGGATGGCGATCCCACCGTCCGTTGCGCACGCGCTCTTCTCCCAACTCTCCCCTTGCCACCTCCACCATCTCCTCTTGCCTCCCATCTGCTGCTCTGCTTCGCTAAAGTATCAATCCACTCTCGCTACCACCAATCTAAACATTCCTATTGCTGATCTACAGTGATATACAATCACTAAAACACTGATTTGTGAGGCTAAACAAACTCAAAGACTTGTTGAGAGAAAAATGGTTCAATTAATACACTTACTCGATCAATGTAATATGTAAACAGTGCGACCTGATGTTACCCTAAAGTATCAGTCCATACTCGCTACCACCAATCCAAATATTTCTATTGCTGCTCTACAGTAGCATAATATTCAATATGCAATCGGGAGTCTTCAAGGTATGTTTGTCAGCGTACACATTTGTGGTTCACATGTGTACACTACAGGCTAGGTGTAGCTTTAGTATAGAGAGTACATGTTTGTTATACCTTGGACTCTGTATCCCGTCCTTAGTCATTTATTCTCTAGTTGGCATGGTGTCACGCGCTAAGGTTAGGTCTCATGCTTCTGCCTCGCCTATCTACCTACCCATCCGTACCCCGCTGACCCTGCTAGCCCCGTCGCGCCCCGCCAGCCTTGTCGTCCCCGCTAGCCCCGTCGGCCCACTGCCGCGAGCTTGCTACGCCTGCCACGCCCTAGCCGCCGCTGCCCGCGCCAGCAGCGCCCGCGCTTGCGTCTGCCGCCGCCGTGCCTCTGCCCGCCGACGCAAGCGCCTGTTGCCGCCCGCATCTACCTCCGCCGCACTTGCCGCGGCTGCTGCGCTCCCTGCCGCACCCTAGCGCCCTGCCGCTCCTGCTGAGCCTGCCGCGCCTGCTGCGCGCCCTGGCGCGCCTACTGCGCGCCCTGCCGCGCCTACTGCGCGCCCTGGCGCGTGTCCCGTGCCTGCTAGTTAGGGTTTCCTTCTGACTGCCCCTGCCTGTCTTCTCCTCCGCCTGTCGCCGTTCCCTCTCATCTGCCGCAGCTGTGCCTTTGCTCATCTCAATCATGGTGTCCGAGAGCGTCCTGCGGCTCGATGCGGTGGGCCGGGAGATCGATTTTGACGCGTGGCTGCTTGGCGCAACAATCCACCTCCAGAACCAGCGTCAGGATGGCGACACTTCGTACGCCCACGCTTTCGGTGAGCTGCCTGCCCTCAACTTTCTGCTCCTCTTGCTGTTGACGCCACGCAGGCGGACCGGGAGACTTACAACGCGGCTCGTCATGCGTACTCGATATCGTAGTCGCGTGACCCTGCTGCGAGCCTTGCCCTTCGCCAACTCCTGTCGCCAGACGAGCGAGTTTACTTTCACCAAGTTGCGTCGACAAAGGAGTGAATTTATGCTATTGATGCTCGCTACTCCACCCCCTCATATGCTAAGAGAAGTGAGTGTGGTGTGCATGGTCAGAACAAAGGGTTTTTGTGTCCAGGTGAGTCCAGGCAATATTCAATATGCAAAGCGCGAGTATTGGCTCAACGTATTATCACGATCCCGATGGATGGCCCTCAACGTATTATCACGAATATTGGTAATTTCAATTCGCCCTGATCAAGATCTTGTGAAGGAGTGAGAATCACTAATGAGGGGCATACTGTACAAGTACCAAAACTGTACCCACTACAGAGTAACCCAACCTAGCTCATAATGTGTCAACACACTCATTTGTAGCTATACACGTATTCTATAGGATAGATCAAGTTGCTTTGTAAAGAGTACATGTCTGCTAGATATGCCAACTGTATCCCTCCGGTCTGGTAATTCTGCTCAGTTCTCTTTCTGGACTCATGTTGCTGCTGTCACCGACTTTGCCTCCACCCGCCACCTTAACTACGCCACTCAGTTGGTGTATGCTCTTGTCCGTCCTCCGTTCGTCGGGGGTGCTCCTGCCCTTGACAATGATGTCCAAGAGGACAGGCATTTCGAGCTGATTTTCTTGCGGCCGCTACTCCTCACCTCTGCGCCATGCTGCTAGCCCAAGAGGGTGACACAGACGCTCTTGACATCCTAACTCCTCATACCTACGCTGAGGCAGTGTCAGCACGCTGGGCCTTTCACGGATAGCAGCCATGGACATAGAGATGGCATCTTGTAGGTACACGGGCACGTACGTTGACGTGTTCCCCCCTCCTAGAGCGAACGTTGTCGAGGGCATGTGGATCTTCAAGGTGGAACGACCGCCTAGAGCACCACCTGTTTTCAAGGCGCCCTACGTAACTAGAGGCTTTAGTCAGCGAGAGGGGGTGCACTTCTCATATACCTTCTCCTCCACCCCGAACATGACCATTCTTTTGGCACAGCATGATAACAACCTCCACTCACTAGACTTCCCCACTGCCTTCCTTCAGGGCAGTCTGCATGAACAGATATGGCTTCGACGCCCACCTGGTTTCACTGGGTCGTTTTCTTCTGGGGCCCCATGGAGCATTCGGGGACCAGTATATGGTCTGCGTCAGGCTCCTCGTGTTTGGCATGACACGTTATGCACTACTCTTGCTGCCCTCGGCTTCTTCCCATCCTTTGCTGGCCCTTTTCCCTTTGTTCGCTCTGACGAGAATCCTTTCTACACCCTTTTCTACGTCAACGACCTGGTTTTTGCTACTCCCGACAAGGTTGCACTGGCCTCAGTGAAGACCGAGTTGCTGATGAGACACACCTGCACTAACCTAGGTGAGTTGCGTCACTATCTTGGCTTGCAGATCACTAGGGACAGAGCAGCGTGTCAGAAAGTAGGAATGAAGAATGACTAGAATGACAGCAGTACAGGGTTTGTATAGCAAAACCTAATTGGGCTGTACCCCGTGAGGAGTGCCCCACTACAGCCTAGAGCATATAAATGCATAGTTCTGACACACCCCCATAGGCAAAGTGGGGGACAAGCAAGAGAACGAAGCAAGGTCAAGCTCAGGGTGGATCACGAAGTCACCACGCATTCTAAGCATAAGCAAATGGCCACAAGGCCAGTTCACATGCAGAGTTATATATAAAGGAGAGCAAGCAGTACAGTGGTCACGACCTAGCAAGTGTAAGCATGCAGGTATATGTATATAGATCACAGTACAAGCAAAGTCAAGAAGTGAGCAAGTGAGGCCAAGTTGGCACAAGGCCTAGAACAGTACAGAAACGCTGATGATCACAAGGCTGAAGTGCCTTGGTGAAGATATCAGCAGTGTTGGCCTGAGAGGCCACGTAAACAAGACGAAGCTGACCACGCTGCTGCAACTCTCGAGCAAGGAAGTAGCGCAGAGCGATGTGTCAGAACTAGCAGTAGAAAGTAAGAATGAAGAAAGGAGGAGGTTCACTAGCAAGCAGTTGAGTACATATAGGAAACCCTAGATTGGGCTGTACTCGCTATAGAGTACCCCACTGCAGGTTAGACAAATACAACATTCTGACACACCCCCATAGCCAAAGTGGGGTGTAATCAGCACAATGAGCAGGTATAGCAGGAGTTCACAATAAGAAGCAAAGCTAGAGGTAATCACAGCGGGCAAGTGAGGAGGAGGAGGGACTGTGAGAGGAGAGAAGATGAGAGACGGCGGCTGAAGCTGCAGACACACGGGCAACAGGAGCTGCTGGCACAGTGGCTACCGGGACAGTGCGCCCCGGACTACTGGAGTAACTGGCTCACGGGCTACGACGAGCTACAGGAGCAACGGACCCTCGGGCGACAGGCGCAGCAGACTCTCTGGGCTACCAGGACAGTGCGCCCCGGACTACAGGTGCTGCGGACGACAAGACAGCAGCCTCCGCTCAACCTCCTCCAACTGTCCCACACACCCCCCACACACCCACTGCTTCACTCCTAACTCCACTTGCACGTCACCCCCCTAGTACCACTCCTTCGGCTCCCACACACCCACCCCCCTCAGCGGCAGCTGCAGCACTGGGAGACGGAGGAGGAGGAGGAGTAGGGGACGACGCACAGAAACTGCACCCCCATACCCCCCACCCCCAAACCCTAATTCAGGAGAACGGGCAGCAGCAGGGGTGGGGCGCCGTCAGAAGCACGGGGGACAGCGGGCAGCGCAGGGGCAGAGAAAACAGGGCGCCCACGGGCCTGGCGCAGCCCGTACGAACCGCGTGCGGGCGGCCCGAGGCGCGCCCTGGCCTGGCGCAGTCCGTACGGGCCGCGCGCGGGCCTGGCGCTGCCCGTACGGGCCGCGCGCGGGCCTGGCGCAGCCCGTACGGGCCGCGCGCGGGCCTGGCGCAGCCCGTACGGGCCGCGCGCAGGCTGTACGGGCCGCGCGCGGGCCCTACGCAGGTCGCGCAGGCCGCGACGGGCGACGGGGGGCGACGCGCGGGTCCCCGTCGCCCGTCGCAGCGCCTCCCGGGAGCGACGCGCGGAGTGACGGGGCAGAAAGCCGCCGCGCGCCTCGGGGCGCACGGCGGGCAGAAAACCGCCGCGCGCCTCGGGGCGCACGGCGGGCAGAAAACCGCCGCACGCTCCGAGCGCGCGG